AGCCAACAGTACGGCAGTTACCAGAGGGAACGGTGGGGGAGGGAGTTGTAAAAGGTAAAAGAAGCCAAATATACGGTGACGGAGATGTGACTTTGGGTGGTGGGCACATGGTGCAATATACAGATCATAGAAATGCGCACTTGAAGCCTATGCAATCTTTTTTGTTTATTTATTTGCATTTTTCATTGAATTTATTGAGACAACATAGGTTACTAAAACCATATGGGTTTCAAGTGTGTGATTCTATGATACATGATCTGTATATTACATCATGTGCTCACCGCACAAAGTTAAATATAATCTTATTCATCAATGTCACTCCAAGAAATTTAATTTTTTAAAGACTTTATTTATCTTTAGAGAGAGGGGAAGGAAGGAAGGAGGAGAGGGAGAGAAACATCGATCGGTTGCCTCTTGTATGCACCCTGACCAGGGACTGAACCCACAGCCTACGCATGTGCCTTGAATCAAACCGACGACCTTTCACTTTACGGACAATGCCCGACCAACCGAGCCACACAGCCGGGGCCAAGTTTGTATAACATTAAAAAATTTTTCAATATTATACAAACTCACAGCTTCATATGCTGAATTAGGCATTTAAATCATTAGCAAATGAACCACATAAGCTCCCCAAATGAGATGAGTTTTGGGAAGAGATTAGAGGTCTAAGTAGGAGCTGAATTTCAATGCTCACCGCATTAAATCCAGAGTCAGTGACAGATGAGGGTGTTTACCATGTTGCCTGGTTCTGCACCATTTATAGATACTGCCATTGCTGAGTGGTTTCTGTAATAGTGAATAAGTGCAAAACTACATAAAAGCTATCTGTAAATGCCACAAAGATGAGTAATCTAAAGTAAAATTGTCAGAAGTCGTTTCTACAACAATATGTGGGCAAATTTCCCATGGTCTCATGAGACAGCTTAAGAACAGGACTTGGATCTTTATATCTCTCCAGATATTTTGGGTAGAATTAAAAGAAGGGTTTAGATTTAAAAGTTATTTTTTATTGTTATAGTCGTGAAATACTGAGAGACAAATACTTTAATCTGAAACTATAATCATGTTACTATATTTTATATTCCTATAACTATTGCTAATTCTACTATTAAAATAAATGAACTAATTCCTTTTTGTTTCCTTATTGACTTTTTATACTATTAGTCTCTTGATAAAGAAAGTAAAAAGAGCCACGTGAGTGAGGGAATAATCAGGGGCCTTGGAGTCGAACTGAACTGGTTCAAACCATGGCTCAGTCACTCCGACCTGGAGCAAACCACCTAACTTTTGATTGTCTCAACATTTTTGTGAAATGGCAAAAACTACATCGTAGTGTGTTATGAAGATTATATAATAATATGCTGAAAATACTGAGCTCAACTCTTAAAGCAAAGTGGGTGTCCTTCAGCTATTTTCCTGTGCTATTCCTAAACAACCCACAGGGACAAGGCCATCTCTTCAGCAGAGAGCATCCCAGGATGAGCAGGGAAGAGCTTTCCTGAGTAAGTGGTGGCCTGTGTGTTAGGGAGAGGGTCCGACAGTGGAGGACATAGGCAGAGCAGGCTTGATGAGAGAAAAAGACTGCAATCCAACTCATACAACTAGATATTGAGTAACTCTTCAGAAAACATAAGAATGTTCTTCACAGATTTGGAATAAACCCAACCATGTAAATATTTACATTTCTAAAATGAAACAACCGCTGGTGAGAGTGTGAATTATAGTTAAATGGCAAGTGAGCCAACACTCCTTCGTGCAAACACATCACATAAAACACCACAAACAGCAGCAAGAAGTAAACTCCGTGGAGCATGCAGGCAACAACAATGACATAGTCTAAGTGAGCAGTTGTTGAAGTTCTTTCCAGATAGGCAAGCAATGTAAACCTCTGAAATAGGTCTCCATAGATGTCATAACAAATTATGACAAGCTCAGTGGCTTAAAGCAATACCAGTGTATTATTTGTACAGTTCTGTAGTTTAGAAGTCCAACAAGGGTCTCACTCAATAGGGCTGTTTTCCTGTTTTCCTTTCTGGAGGCTCCAGGGGAGAATTCATTTCTTTGTCTCTTCCTAGCTTCTCTGCCTACACCACTTAGTTTAGGGCCCTTTCTGCCATCATCAAAGTCAGCAACAAGCACGGTCCTTATATACACCCTTCTGGTCTTCTCTTCCACCTCCCTCTTCTACTTCTGAGGGCCTTTGTTACTAGTATACCAGCCCACCCAGACAACCCAGGATAATCTCCCTGATTAGTAATCTTTAATTCTACTCACAACCTTCCTCTTTGCCAAGTAATCTAACATTGTCACAAATTCGGGGGAGTGGGGGTACTCGATTTGTTCTACCATAATCTCCAAAGGAGATTACCTCTGAATTCTGTAACATTAATCTCTGGGGATAAATCATATACTGCAACTCACATGTACCTTATGCATTTCTTTCCAACCATTCAAAAACAGAGGAGTACCTTTTCTGACAACTTTAGAACCTGCAAAGCAAAGGTATTCCTTGTTATTTAACAAGAGCAGAAAGAGGCAACGCTATAAGAGCTCTGAGAGCTGATTACACTCAGTGATGAAAATGGATTATCACTGATTGTCAGGCTTTCTTTGGCTCCAAGAGGAACAGGATATCAGAATGTAATATCCATGTCAACAAGCCTTCTAAGGCCGTCTTCAACCTCTGGAACCTATCATATCATTTCACCCACTTGCATCTAGGAATTGCTGTATTTCCAAAGGGAAGAATATTGCTGTATTAGCAGTAAGTATCTCCCGGTGAGGGCTTAGAAAGGAAGCTTCAAATGGTGTGTGTGGGATTGAAAGCACAGACATTGTGAAATGAATTTTTCTCTTAATGGGCTCATCTAAACAGAATATTTGTTAGTATACCAAACTTAAGTTAAATACCACTACATAAAAAAACTTCACTGCTTAATTTACTAGAAAAATTAAAATCATATAGAATGTCATACCCCCTCCCCAAAAATATTTTAGAAAACTGGGGTAAAGTTCTACGTACATACATTGTCTAGATCAGAGGATGGAGCCCAAAAGGTGGTAGAAATAATTGGACGTGGCTAGGAAAACCCTGGGCATACTGGAGCCGTTGCCCCATCTGGAAAGGCCAGCCACCAGCCACCACGCAGCGGCAGCAGCTGACTGCCGTCACCCAGTGACAGAGCAATAAAACACAGTAACGGACCAACCTTAGCTTCTCAGCCAGTAGTTGGCACCTTTGGGTCTCAATCAGCCAATCCTTGATTAACTACCTGATATTTGACTTGATAAAATATAGAGAGTAGTATAACTTATTGTCTTAGCTGACTAATTGGATACAAACATCATCCAAACCTAGAAGAAAAAAACATGTGGACGCGGATGAGATCAAGAGCCTTAGAAACTGAGGGATGCCTTGTTTCTCGAGGGAGCGGAGTACGCCTTGTGTTTGGTTGTGGCCCCAGCACGTAGTGTAGGGTCTGTCCCATAATAGGGTCGAAGTACACATTTGTGAGTTAATGAATGACCAAACTTTAAGGACAACATTGGTAGCTCTGAAGGCATGATTCGTACTTGTAATGTAAAGAAGTAGTAGTCTAGCCTTAGATTTCAAGGTTGGCTTAGAAAGTAAAAACCCTTAATATTTTCTATATTATTCATTAGATAGATAGATAGATAGATAGACTAACAATTATTATATTGCAATGACCAATGAGGCCTTTTATAATATGATGGGGCAAAAGGGGTTGAACTGAAAACAATAATGTAACAACAACCCAAACCAAGTATTTGTGTGAAATTTTTATGTTATGAAGTCCTTTCAATATGTGACTCCTCTGATCGTCAGATCATGTCTCCAAGGTAGACATATTATTTCATTTTAAAGAATGCGAACAACAAAGGAAGTTAACTGATTGGGCAAAGCCTTGCACAAAGCTCGCAGCGGAGCTGCTCTTCCTCTCCAGCTCAGCCCACCATGGCTCTCTCCCAACAGGGAGGCAGCGTGGGGTGTGACCATGTAGAGACGAATCAGATTAATTAAATACGCACAACAGCACCCTCATGAACCAGAGGGGAAGGAAAAGGCCTACACTGTGGCGCAGCGGAGGGAGGGAGGGAGGAAGGAAGGATCAGGGAAAGAGAATGTAATGTTTGTCGAGAGGGTGTGTAGACATCAGAGCACATTACTCATCACGACGCGATGTGTGTGGTGGTTAAATCATTCAGTAAAATGAAACAGGTTGCATGGACCAGTGTCATTTCATCTGAAAATGCACTGTTCTGTGATATTTTCATTTCCTGTGTGTATCTGTCCACCCCCACCAGAGAGAAAACTTCATGAGGTTCAGCAGCTAAAACACAGAACAGTAAGAGCTCCAGAAGTACTCTCCACACAGAAAGAATTCAGTTAAATTTTTTGAAGTGGCTAATGGGTGACATTATAGTGGTGACACTATAGCATAATGGTTAAGAACATGGCCTTGAAGTCAACAGATCTGTGTCTGAAACCATGTCCTGTCAATGCCTGGCTGTGTGACTTTGGGTAAGTTACTCCACCTCTCTGAGTCATGATATCATTTGTAAAAAGGGTGACAGTGATACAACTTATTCCATAAGTTTGTAGTGAGGATTAAATAATGCCTGCAAACACCTAGCAGGATGCTGGCTACCTGACATGCACTCATTTACTCAGTAGTAAATGTTTTACTACTGCAACATACTGAAATGTCAAGTTAAAAAAAGTACTGGAGCTACATGCCGATCTCTGCACATGTAGAGAAAGGACATTTGCTCAGTTCCCAAAAACAAGCTGAGATGCTGAGAGAAAATCTTAAAAAGTGACCCAAAATGTATTTTTAAAACAAACTTTTAATTTATCCCACATGCCATTTGGAATATAGTAACAGAACAAAGTAGAAAAAAGCATAGGCGCAGTGTGATTTACGATCAATATAAATGATTTTTCATTATGATCAATATAAATGATTTACGATAAATAGAAATGATTACAGATAGGATTAGTCTGCAGACACCAGCTCACTGACAGAAAAACTTTATGACAGGTCAAGGTGTACAAAGGAATGAAGACCTGAGGCATGGCTGGTCACAGAGGGGGACATTCAGAAGGACAAATACGTGCAATATTCTTTTTAAAGTAATTTTTCCTTGTTCCTGGAAAGAAACAAGTTTAGCCATCATCGGCGCATTATCCTCCCAAGTCCAGCTCGCTCACTTTCCTGTGTGCACTTGTTCTTCATCCTCAGTCTCTGATCGCTCATTTTCAGACCCTGATCGCTCTTACACACAGGCAGAGTGAGTGCCAGGATAGGAGTATGTTCAAGCCGGAAAGAAGGAAAGAGAATACTAATGTCCTAGAAGGAAACTGACACATACCAAATGATCTCTATCATACTCAGAGTGGTGTATATATAAGAGAAATTTAAGCCAAGCAATTAAAACGTGTTCTACCCAAAAGTAGAAGAAAAATAAACACAGAGCAAGTATCACACATTGATTTAGAGGGGAATCTGATGCCAAAATAAGGTAACAAAGTCCGCCACTGACACCTCTCCTTTTGTATCTTTACTATTTCTAAGGAGCCAATTCATGGAGCCTGAAGTGTTTGTAAAGTGCCGCTTCACCCCTGAATTTTCAGCTCTGGGGCTCAAGCAGATGAATGAGAGCCAATCCCTTGGACCATCAGCTCTAGGACAGTCAGATGGGCCAGTTCTTCTGAGCCACAGATGTTGAATCAGAGAACATCCTCTCCTTCTCCTTTGCTTCCTTCAGGGCCTGGGGTACATTCCAATGGTCTGGAAGACACCTCCATTAGAGTTTCATCTCCCTGCCACACGTTACCTTCCTTGGTCTCCTCCTGGATCAAGTGTGGCAGGCAGTCCTGCTCAGAGTTACTCCAGACATAGCCAGGTAAGGTCACATGGCTTTCAGGTTGTTGGCTGGCCATCTTGGTCGCTTTGCTGGAGATGAGCACCATTCGAGTGCTGGTGGCCATCTGCGACTGGCTGCTGATGCTGTGCGTCATGGTGGTGAGCACGGAGCCGTATCTGTGGCCGCCACATGGGGGCGTCCGTTTCCAGTCGACAGAGAGATTCCACCGGCTCCACATCTTCTTCACCTCAGCCTGAACCTAAACAGCGAGAACCATATGGTGCATCAGAAACCATCAGGGAGACCCTGCCGCTTTGTTAGATGAATGTTTGCCCCAATTGCAGTGAATGTAATAGTCATTAATTAAGGCTCTGATGTGTGCCAGGGACTTTTCATATGTATACTCTCTCAGTCTCAAAAAATCTGCAAGGCAGGTATTATTACTGGAGATGAGCAAACTGAGGCTTACAAAGAGGATAAAGGGCATTGTCCAAGATTAGTATTTTGATGGAGGCTGAAACACAGCCAATGGCAATATCTCACTTGTGGGAGAGGAAAAAGAGGACTCGGGTTGAAAGAGAAAGAGAGATTAATAGTGGCAGCTATGGCTGAGGAACGGCATGACAGGAACTCAGCCTGAGATGTGACTCTATCACCTTGCATAGGTATATGAAGGAGGAAGACAGGAGAGGACTGGACTCTGAGAAGCAGACACTCAAATGCAGTCCTAATGGGGTGGGGCTCTCGTTTCCATTCACTGGCTGGAGAGTGAATTCCACCGCTGTGGCCACTTTCCAGACGGAAGCTTATCTGGAAGTTCCATAGAGGGTGGAAACCTGGAAAGCTCATGTCACCTAAAAGGACAGTTCAGTTATTCCCCTTCAGCCAACTCCTGGACAATGGTGAATTGTCCCACCACCACCTTGTAGTTTAAAAAATGTCAAAGTGTTCTAATGGATTTGTCCTGAGAATACATATTTAAGTTTTTTATAGAACTTGAAATCGATTAATAAATTTAAGCATGAACTGGAATATGAAGTCCACGTTCCTTCCGAGTCTCAGTTTGCATTCAATGAGGTTTTTTTTTTTTTAATATCAGGGTTTATAAATGAATTGACCTTATTTTATTGAAACTAATTCTATTTCTCAAAATAATTTATGATGAAAACATCTCTTCTCTCCCTGGCCATGCCGTCCCATGACTCCCGGGGACCCTAAAGAGCTTCGGCGACATCGGGATGGAGACCCGTGGGCCGTCGGGGGCCCCTTAGCCTACCTCCCCGTTGCAGTAGCAGTAGACGATGGACACGAAGAAACCCTGCAGAACGAAAGGGCACGTCAGGTGCTGGCCATGCATGGAGTTCCCCGCACTACACTGGCTCGTGTCAAATGAGTCCTTCGGAAAATGTTTTCTTATTCCCTCCCAACGTCTCCAAATCCTTAAGTGCACATTAAATTTGCCTGAGATCTTTCCTTGATAGTAGCTGAACCAAGCAAGTAACTGAATACAACATGGCGAAATACAAAGAACTGATTTCTCTTCTATTCGTTTCATTTATGTTGCCACTCAAGGGTCACTGAATATCCCCTGGTTGGTAAGAGATATTTATGCACTGTGAATGCTGGAAATTACAGACATCGGGTATTGTCTAGTAAAAAAGACAAAGGGTTGCTTTCATTCATTTGAAAATACTTATTGAGCTTATGCAATGTGAAGTGCGCGTGTGCCAGGGATAAACAGTTGGATCGAGACAGACATGGTCCTTGTTCTCTTAGACCTTACATTCTAGAAGGAAATACAAATGGATAAAACATAAACAAATGGCCACACAAGAAAAATGTATGACGATAAGGGCTCTGCAGGCAAAACAAGTGGTGTTGACAGAGAAGAATGAAGATGAATTAGGTAAGACACTCAGTGAAGACCTCTCTGAGGCGGTGACACGTAAGCTGGTTTGGGTGACAAGAACAAGTTAGGCCTTGTAAATATTAAGGAGAAGAACATTCCGAAAGCCCGGACAACCCCGAGGCAGGAATGAGCTTGAGGAACCTGCCACGCAGGGCTGCGCACACCAGGAAACGGCATTTGGATTTTATTCTGAGTGCAACAGGAAGCCTCTGGATGCTTCTGCCAGATAAGCAGCACGATCAAACGTACGTTTTAGGTTCTTCAGACTATTGTAGGGAGACGAGAGGGAAGGAGGGAGGTGGCGGCAAACACCGGCCCAGGAGGAAGGATGAGGAGGCGCCTGCAGTGATCCATGTGACGATGACAGTATTACTTTCAAACAAGATAAAATGCGTAGAAGCCACTTCTTCCTCTTTTTTAACTCCTTGTAGAAGCCACTTCTTCCTCTTTTTTAACTCCTTTATTTCCTCATCCCTGCCTTCTCCTTCTGTTTTCATTCGTTTTCCATACCCACACAGAGTGGGTACGGAAAACTCAGCACCTGAGTCCTGCAGGTGGTACACAGCTTAAAACACACCTTCTCACCCCCCAGTGATCCGTCGCATGGATTACTACTTCTCGACTGTGAGGAACAGCTCCTGCTGTGGTCACAGGCTGACCTGACCTCTGCAGGATGGAAAAGCACAGGCAGCAGAGGAGAATAGCGCCCCCTCATGACCTCAGGAGACCGTGCGAGAAAGCCAGAGGGGCAGAGGAAGAGGCGGCAAGGGGCGGGGGCAGAAAAAGCAAATCACAAAAACCACTTCACTAGATGGCGCTCTACCTGAAAGGAATTGAAGAAGAGCTCACAGTGCATCCGAATCTCCCACCCGAGCCCTGAGAAGGAGTGGGGCAGGCACACAAACACGATGTAATGCACTCCGAAGACCAGCACCAGGACCAGTGTGGATTTGGCCAGTTTCCTGCAGGAGAGTGCAAAGCCTTTGTACTGATCAATTTGGCGTGCCTTTCCGCAGAGACGGCTTGCTGGGACAAAATCAAGCTTAGCAGAGCTAACAGGGGCCGGCTTTCCCCATCTGTCTGGATCCCAGGTCATCTGCTAGTTTTCCCCCTCTCTCCTCTTCCTGTCACTTTTATACTAAATCAGGTAGTTTATTCTCACTTCCCATGATTATTACCCCCTAAGTCTCTCTAATCTCATTTCTGCTCTTCTTGCTTAAAGAATACTCATTTTCATAAAGCCATGAAATGCCTTATTTTTTCCAGCCCCAAGTCCTCTTGAATTTTGATGTTTGAGATTTAAGTAAGTATTACCTCCATTTAAATTAACTGTCTTTACTTTTGTAGGCACCATTTTGGCTTGTGTTGTTCATTTTCAAATCAACTATTCCCTAGTTTCTTTGTACACTTGGATCTCCTTTATCATTTCACATTTTGTTAGGTGCTACAGGTAGTCACCTTCCCTAAACAGTCTATGTCAAAATATTCAACCTCAAGTTGTCTATAGTTTTAGATTTCATTTTGGGGTTTGAGGGGTTGAAAGCAAATCAATTTTACTTTACTTTAACTGCCTTTCTCTATATTTTTTCTTGCATATTTGGAGAAATGATAGGTTTCTGATTTTATGGGTTGACTCTAAAGTGGCCCCCAATGATTTCCACCTCCTAGTGTTTATGGCCTTGTTAATTCTCTTAGTTTGAATGTGGGCAAGACCTGGGACTTGCTTGTAATGAACAGAGTACCGCTAAGATCACTTCTGTGATTAAGTTGCATGAGACTGTAATTTTCATCTTACAAAAAGACTCACTCCCTTGTTTAGTTCGGTGATGCAAATGACCATGCTGTGAGCTACTCAGCTGAGACCACCATGTGGCAAGGAGACATGGCACCTGGCCAACAGCCAGCGAGAAAGTGGATCCTGCCAACAACCACATGAACTTGAAAGTGAATTCTTCCCCAGTCCAACCTTAATGTGAGACTGTAGCCCTGACCTCCCCATTGCAGCCTTGTAAGACACCCTGAAGCACCCACAGAAGCTGTGAAAGAACAAGTATGTTATTTTAAGCCACTACATTTGTAATAATTCATTTGCACAATAGACAGCCAGTACAGCCAAGCCATCGTTTTCCAGTGTTTGGATTGGTTATTCCGTGTTTGAGCTTATTTGTTTGTTTTGTCTTTTGCACTGCCTATCCCAGGAACTGTCAAATCTGGCTTCTTCTCTCTTATCTCTCAAACACTCCTTTTTCTCTGTGAACCATTCATGCCCTGGTAATCTCAAACCATTGCAGCCGCCTTCCTTTCTCACTAGTCTTCCCTCTAGGTACTTTATTTACTTACTTTCTTTCATTTCTTACTTAGTTACTTATTAACCTACTTACTTACTTATTTTTCTTCTTGGAAATGAACTGTGTGGGCAAGTACTACTATTACACCGGACTGAGATGAAAGAAAACTGAGTTCAGTTCCAGACCTGAGACTAACTACTATGTGGTCAGAGTTCAGTTCTCTTATCTCTGACATGAGGGAGTGGGGCCCAGAAATCCATTGGAACAGCCTAAGACTTTCCTCAGGATCATCTAGGAGACACATCCTTTATTTTATCATAACTATCTTTCAGCTGCTGCAGAAGCTGGAATGTCCCATCATTCACAGTGAAATACCTAATTTAGACATTTGGACTGCTCATCATTCCACCTCATTCTCCTCTGCCTCTCTCACCTCTGTTCAGTACCTGGACCATCTGCTCCTCTGGGTTCAGGGCCGTCTGGTTGGCCTCCCATCCACAGTTTGCCCACTAACCTGTGCACTTTCTCTTATGCTGCTCCTAGTCCTCATATCTCATACCTTAGGTCACCTACAATCCACTTAATTTGAAAATTCTACCTTACATCCATTGTATTCAAGGCAGCATTCCTGATAAGACTATGGGTTTCTCTGACCTAACTAATCCTTTCACCTTTCAGAGGCTCCTTGGGATGTGCTTGTCCTCCCCCTGAATCCTGACCAGTGAGTGTATATCACTGTGTACATGGTCAGGACACAGAGAATACCTTCATGGCAGTAGTCTAACCAGATAAAGGGGCACAGCAGGTTCTGCATTTACTGAACCTTCGAAGTCTTGTGTAATATCACACTAAAAAGAAAATTGTTTCTTCCTTTAACACGAATGGATAAATATCCCCCTGGAAACTACTGTCAAATCTAGCTAACTTAGCTCCTACTGTGTATGCCTAGGACTGAAAAACTAGTTTAAAACAAAAAATAAAGCAGAGAAATACACTGTGAAATAATCAAAAGTTTAGCAAAAGTTTAGGGACAGTTTTGTTCCATGCAGAGTGAGACAAAGTTGTCAAAGACTAAAATTTAGTAGCTATCCTGCTAACTCAGCCATCCAGGTTTTCTCTTTGTCTATGACCAGACTCTGGTACAACTCTCTAGAGATAAAAGTCAATTTGTAGAAAACAGGCAGTACTTGAATTCATTTTTAATTGCTATGGAACACATTTAGTAGCTGAAACCCCACCTACCTATTATCTCTCAGTTTCTCTATGCCAGAAGGCCAGGCACAGTGTGGTTGGGTCCCCTGCACAGGGCATCACAAGGCTGGAATTAAGTTGTTGGCCAGGACCGCATTCTCACCTGGACCTCAGGGTTTTCTTCCAAGCTCATCCAGATGGCTAGCAGAGATCGGCTCCTTGCTATTGCAAGGCTGCTGCTGGTGATAGGTTTTTCAGTTCTGCAGAATTCCCTCAGGCTGTTTTCAGGCCCCAGCCTTAGGATCTCCCACAAGTCAGATTGCTTCTTCAAAGCCAGCAAGAGATCTCTCTCCAGGCTGCTGGGATGAAGTCTTCTATCACCTTCGCCATATAATGTAGCCTAAATCTGCTTCTCAGAGCAGTTCAAATAATTGCTGCCCATAGAAATGCAAATTGTGTCCAATGGAAGGCCACTAATTACAGCCCTTTGGTTATGGACATGTTTTGCTAATTCACATCCATTTGTCAATTCATTTCAGCATTCATTATTCTCTTTTAAACATACGTAATATCTTGCTAGTTCCTTCATTAATAAGTCAAATAAAATTTTTGAAATGTGTTCCTTTATATTTGTGTAAGAGTTATGGTTACATCCTCTTTTAAAACTGATCCTTCAAAGAGAGTGAACAAGTTAAAGTAGTGGTGCATCCCAGGCCAACATATGTACAGGTCATCTGTCTATTCACTTATAAAGATGGACTTTCCCACGGGTCAAATCAGTCAGCAGCCCTGGGCATTGATTTGGTTCAGGGTCCATCTGCTCACCGATGCACACTGTATATCTTTGCAGACCAGCTCTCTGAAAAGGCACAGCTGCCTCGTGAGATGACTCAGGGGTGAAAACTGGAAGTGGCCTTCTGGCTTGCCCAAAGCACAGTGCTGGCCCATAGGACAAAACCATGAGAATACACAAAGGGCAAATGCTTCACTGGACTCAGTGTCCTATGCAGAAAACAGATACCCAGTTCTTGTGATATCTCTTCCTGGGTGATCTCTCCCTGGGTAAAAAGTTCTGAAAAAGCTCTACTTGTCTTTTAAGAGTTAACTTAGCTTAAAAAAAAAAAAAACTATTCCTCTTCAATCCCCCTTGGCCTTAAATTAATCTTTCCTTCTTTTCTACACATGCACCCCTCTCTCTAGCTCTCTATCTCTTTCTCTTCTGGCAAGAGCCATGTGAGAGAACTTTTATGATCCCATGTCCAGGTGAAGACAGAGGCAAAGAATTCATCCAGAGTTACACGGTTAATAGTAGATTTGACTTTAAAATCTGTCCTATGTACTATCAAACTGCATAACAAATATTCATTGAACTTATTCCAAAAATATAAATATTAAATATGACCTTTGTCTAATATTAAATGGAAAGCCAAGTTAGCCAAAACATTCAAATGTTCTTTTCCAGTGAATCTTGCATTTTTCATCTCTCTCATATTTTTCTAGTCCTGGCAATTTTTGCTTAATTTGCAAAGGAATTGGGTTGTAATTTAAAAGAGAAAAAATGTATTAGTTCTAATGTAAAATCTGATTGGCTAATGGATTCACATCAACCTTGTTTTAAAATGAGTGACTGTAAATTACTGTCATGCAGGATGGCACCTGCAGGGGGTAGTGGGTGACAGGCATTTGAGGTCTCTAGGTATTATTTTTATAACTGCATGTAATTCTGCAGGTACCTCAAGGTAAAAGTTTTTAAAGCTAACTGAATTAATCCACTTCAACTTGAAGCCGTTATATGGATGGAGTGATATCATATACTTTTCAGAAGTCTCTTTCTATGTGTGCAGGCTCACCTGGGGAGACTCTGTTTTCAGTCCTTTAGACAGTAATATGCAAGGAAATGTGCTTAAAAGCAGTTTTAGGTGCCACAGTTTGGAAATACTTTTTTTTTCATTTTAACAGGAATATTTGAATATTTGACGAAAATAATAACCAAATAAAATATAAGTTTAAAGGTACAAAAATGAGTGGGTGTAAATTTAAATACTCTGTTAAGCCTCCCACAAGGAATATCACTGGGACAGAACACAGGTTTCATTTTCCTAAGTCTCTTTGTTTAAAAGTCAGAAGCTATTTGAACCGGATCCCCTGTGGCCTCAGAAACTGCATACTGAATTGAATTCCCAAATCCCTGCCAAGTCGGTTCCCACATTTTTCTCTCCAAAATATCATGCCCCACTACATTTTTACTTGTAGCTCAACTTTGTCAAAAATACTAAATATGTTTCTTCTAGGAACAAAATGTATTTGGGCTGAAAAATATGACAACTATTAGTCTAGACCATGTTCTAATTAATCACTTCAAATTTAAGAAACTTCTGGGCACCAGATTATTTAAAATTAATTATGAATTCTTTTTTTAAAAAAGACTTTATTTATTTATTTATTTTTAGAGAGTGAGGAAGGAAGGGAGGGAGAGAAACATTACTGTGTGGTCGCCTGTCGCACGTCTCCCACTGGGGACCTGGCCCACAACCCAGGCATGTGCCCTGACTGGGGATCGAATCAGTGTCCCTGTGGTTTGCAGGCCGGCACTCAGTCCACTGAGCCACACCAGCCAGGGCTAAAATTAACTATGAATTATTAATAGTAGAGTATTTTAATCCTTGGTAAGTTATTCTCTTCAATTATTCTGAGAAATAATCCCCATGAATGAACTCAAAACACTGTCTATCCTATTTTTAAGATGCTCTACCCCTCGCCCTCTCCAGAGGTTCTCAAATTGCTTGGGCAACTTTTTAACTGAAAATGCAAGTTCATATCATTCAGAACCACAGAAATAAGTTGCTTTTATTCAGAACTGATTCAGAAATAAGAAGCTTTCCAACACCATTGCACTTTTTCACTTTCTGAAGAAGAATGAAAGGCTACTTATATTTTCCCCGTCACCCTTTGTCCTTTGTCTTCACCAATGGGATGTGACACGAGAAAAGCTACATTACAGTAGCAAAGGTCCCTCACTGTAAACTCGTGTGCACAATTCGTATCATAACACTCTCACTTGCAGGACATTGGAAATAATGAGCTCGCCGCTGCTGGTTTGTTCATCCTGTGTGTCCTCGTCCAGACTCCAGTCTACAGCTGGAGTCTTTTCAGCCCAAAGGAAATGCTGCCTAAATGCCGAAGTGGGGAGTAATTCAACAAAGAACCTACAGAACATTTGTGAGACGGAATCAAAATGCTGACTGTGGCCCTGGCTGGTGTGGCTCAGTGGATTGAGTGCGGCCTGGGAGTCAAGGGGTCCCTGGTTCGGTTCCCAGTCAGGGCACACGCCTGGGTTGCAGGCCAGGTCCCCAGTGGGGGGCGTGCAAGAGGCAACCACACATTGATGTTTCTCTCCCTCTCTTTCTCTGCCCTTTCCCCTCTCTCTAAAAATAAATAAGTAAAATCTTTTTTCTAAATGCTGACTATAATTTCTTCTTTTCTGTGTCTGACACAGCACCACATAGTTTATAGGAAAATCCCAATCTAATAACAAATACATATGTATTTGTTACATACATATATATACACATATATAAATACATATGTATTTGTTACAAATATATATGTGTGTATATATATTTGTGTATATATATTTGTGTGTATACACACACACACACTACAAACTTAAGCATACTGGAAACTTTGGGGTTATTTATATTTTCTGTCCTGGCCAGTGTAGCCCAGCTGGTTGGAGCATGGTGCTGGAAACCAAATGATGTTGGGTTCAATTCCTGGTCAGGGCACACACAAGAAGGTAACCAATTGAAGTTTCTCTCTCTCTCTCTCTCTCTTTCTCTCCCCCTCTCTCTCTGTCTTTCTCTTCCTTCCTCTCTCCCTAAGAGCAATTTAAAAAATTATCCTCAGATGAGGATTAAAAAGTTAAAACACATATTTTCCTAATAAATACATATATATCTTTTCTAATGAATCACAAATTGAACCAAACAAAAATACACATTCATAAATTTATATCTTAGAAATATTTCAAACCAATCGATATCTGTTCTTTACACTAAATAATACCTGAACATTTCCTCTGATGGATGCCTGTCCTGGAATTACCTGTACTGCTTTCTGATGTCGTGCCCAACTGCATTGGTCTCCCAAATTTTGGTGGCTAGAACTCTAACCGTATTCAGAAACAGAATAAAATTCAGCTGAAAGAGAAGGTAAGATTACAAAGCATTATTAAGTTTGTCTTCAAGATGTTTATCAAATTTACATAAATTGAACTTTTTTATATTCAAAGACTAAAAATGACCCATTCCATACGCATCAGTGAGGGGCTTTGAGATAAGCTATTGGAGAGCTAATGACTTTTGATTTGCCCCCATGAAGACACAAGAAGAAAAAGTTTCAAGAACTCTGGAAACCAGAAACATCAGGGAAGGGTCTGCCAGAGTCCACAGGGAGTTTCCAAACCAAAGTGCAGATCAAGGCCTAGAGCAAACTGGCAGGATGAAGGATCATAGTTATTATATAAATGTAACCAACTGGCCTTTTTGAAATGAAGTCCCGGCTTCTGCCTCTATTTTAGGGAGAGAAATAAGAGTTGTTTGGGGTACACTGTCTCTCTCATAATGTATGAAAAATATTAGGTGACGTAGATAAGTTTTTTAGGGCAAATAAAATGCCATATAAGAAAAGTACCCCCCCCAAGCCTGCTCTCACAGGCAATTAAATTGAATTAGAAATATAAGTGTAGGCACCATCAGAGACAATCAAATTCTGGCTTTAAAAACAAAGGGAAGGTATTGGTAAGATAAGCCCTTTTAGGTGTGAGGGTCTCAAGGATCAGTGAAGAGATTCAAACTGAAGAAAAAGAACATGGTCTCCAGGCCTGGGGTCCGAGGAAGTACAATCCTGCCCACTTGAGTCCTTCATTCAGGAAGATTGCTGCAGTCCTCAGAGTTAGGGGGGATTCAGATTGCCAAGAGTGGGTTCCTGTCGATGCCTGAGCAACGGCCACAGGGGAGGACCCAGCCAGTGCTGTGTTCGTGGGGACACCCTGTCTTGCAGTGTTCAAACATCACTGGAATTTGAAGAATTTTGGTTATTGGGTGATTCATGTGCCCCACTCCCTTTTCAGCTGACAGTCTGTGTCAGCCCTGGTGCCCCCGCCACCCTGTCTGCCCTCCTCCCACTGAGCATGCCCCGAGCACCAGCTGCACTGCTTTCCATAGCGACTGGGAGCGAGAAGTCAACTTGTAACCAGGGACAGCATCTACATATGATGTTAAAGCTTTAACTTCATTTGAAGTTCTAAATGTGGCTGATGTAAAAGAGGAAAGGGGTTCTGGAATGCCGATCTTCCTCTGAGAAAGAAATCAACTTGGTATTTGCAATTCCGTCAAAGACTAGATGTAATTTTGTCCATTTTACTTTCCCCTCTTAGCAGTCATCCCTGTCACGCTGACACCTTGTTTTTCATGATTGAACCTCCTTTAATTACAAGCAGAGGAAATGAATCACCAACCCAGCGCCACAGAGAAGCTGAGGTCTTATTTGTTTCCTTCTTTTCGTATTTTACAAAATGCACTGGATGTATTTTAAAACAAGTCAATTAAAATTTTTCTTAAAGGCTTTTCATTAACAGTGCCACCTTATTCCTTCTTCTGGAATTCCCTCAGATGTTCTGAAAGGTATTTTTGGGGAGAAACCATTTATAAGAAAAAAACACTGAAAACTGGAGGTCTCCATTAATGCACTCTAAGACGCTTGCAGTCTCCTCCAGAGCCACTACTTGGTCATTCATTCAAACTACATCACTGTTCACACAATGAGCAAGCCCATGACACACACCACTAACTATATGTTCAACACTGAGGTCTGTTCTTCACGTGGGGGCACAATGGTGCTAAGTCATGATAAATACCTAAAAATAAGTAAATATACCAAAATGAGAATTTCTCCTTGATGTGTTCAGAAGGGTTGGAAAGGACCAATGTTCTCACTATGTGACTCAATGGTTCTTGATAACCATGCATGTACCACCTAAATCCTCTCTTGCAACATGTGACCCACCTTGGGAAACATTAGCCCAGCTTAAATCCTATCATCACTAACAGTACAGACAGTGGGCTCAAGAACCACAGTCTTCTGCCTGGGTCTGTCCCTGCTTCAGCACTTTCTAAATGTGTAACCCTAAACAGGTTATATAACTTCTCTGGGACTAAAACTGAGACTAATGCAAAGAACTATCTCAAAGTTGTTTGAGGGTTAATACAAAAAAGATTCTGAGACAATCCTGAAGCAAAAAGGCACTCAAACATATCTATGCAACAAACGATGAATAGAAAGTAAAAGATTTAACTCTGTCAAGGGACAAAAGAAGGACTTTTGCCCTGGCCGTGCACCTCAGTGGGCTGCAGTGTGGTCCTAATGTGCCAGGCTTGCAGGTCCCACCCCCACTGGAGGCCCAGGAAGAGAATCGGCCAGGGAATGCTCGGGTGGGCGGGCCAAGAAATGCATCTCTCTGCCTTCCTCTCTTTCTTTCTCTCCCCATTCCTCTTTCCCTAGACTCAATAAATTAATTAATCAAAAAACTTTTTAGTAAGGATGAAATTGAGCAGGGACTAGAAAGACCATTTGGTCACCTAGCAGTGGACGATGGGTGGGTGGAGTCAACTAACATGGGACAAAGGAAACAACTAATTAAGACAAATACCACAGAGTTCCTCTTTTCCTTTGCCTTACCTGATAAACTCAAGATCACAGATTTCTGCCAGAAGCAAACCTGTCTCCACCCCATATGACTGGCATCTTTGAGGCCACCTCCTAAGTACTCGTGAACAAGTCTGCTCAGGTTCCCAACCTGCAGTCCTCTGTCTGTGGTTTTATTTCTATCCAGTTGCTACCGTCTCTCTTAGTTGACACCCGTGTAAATGCCGGCCCTCAGGTCTCAGAGGGCAGTGCTTGGTCAGAATTCATTCCACCTGTCGACTTCGCCATTACCGCTTTCCGACCACGCCGCCCTGCCTGCTGCTCCCCTCGCCCGTCAGGCAGAACGCCCTGCTAGTGATGGTCTGGAGGGCCCGGGACCCAAACCACGCAAATGCCCTGTTGCCACTTCGGAAACATTCCTCTCACAGTTTTATGTTACATAGAAAAATTTCACAATAATCGTCAAATCAACAACATCAGGATGCTGCCAGGGAACAATTAAGTTCTATTTGGACAGATTTATTTTCTTCTCTTTTTTTACTGATGATTTTTTTATGGAGAGATTTATTTTTTTTAATAATGTTTTCTAATGACTCTAGTTCTCTTTAACATAATTTTAACATGTAAACAAAACACAAAAAACAACAGTGCTACAAATTTAGACTCTAGGATTCCAAAATCAAGTGGTTCCTTCCAAATTTGTACTGAGTGAGGTCTGGGATGATCCTTAAAATTTAATTAGTTTGCTATGACTTATTCCAATAAGAACCTGTAAGTTCTCATTCTTTGCAAACGCCTTTATTCTCCTAAATATATTTTGCTTCACATATTGCTTAGAAATTCTGATCACATTTTACTAGATTTTACTCCCAAATATACAAAAACCAAATTAATAGAATCTATACTATGATGATTTCCAAAGCCTGAATTAAGTGAAGGGTCTAATATACATTTAAAATTCTTGGCAAATAATATTTTGGCAGCATCTATGGAACCTACCCATTACATTTACATAAAACCATGCTACATGTAATATAAGACTAAAAAACAAACCATTTACCCTAAAGTTAATACATATAAACACATAAATATTGCCATAAAGGTGAAAAGATCCTTTTCCATAAATTCAAGACACAATTTATTTATTTATTTATTTTATTGAATTTACTGGGCAAAAAAAAAACAGTCTTGACATGCTTTAGAATGCAGGCAAAATGAACATGGTCAAAAATAGTGGTTATAGTTCTTGTTCTGCCACACAAACTGTGTGACCTTTACCTGCGTGGGTTATAGTCTCCTCCTCAAGGAAAATAAAAAGGTTGCATGAAATGGACTCAGAGTTTGGAAATTACAGTTGCTTTGTGCTCTTATTTCCCCTCTTGCCTCCTACATTCCCCAGGATATCTAATTTATCGGCGTGTTTTATTTTTTCAACAAGTATTTACTGAACGACCAGTATTTGTCAGGAAACTTGCTAGGTGCTGGGAATACTGTTTAGAATAAAAATACGGTTTTTGTTCACTTAGCCTTGCAATTTAGCAGGCAAGACGGCATTCGACAAATAGTCAGAAGCATTATATACCCTGTAAGGAGCTTAAGAAGAAAAAAATCTCATTGTGTTGTGCAGGTGATAAGAGGTGACTTAAATTAGACTGGGGCATCCAGGAAGCCCCAGGGCAGTGGCATTTAAAGCTGAGAGGTACTGAGCAAAAGAAAAGAGCACTCACAAACATGGCAACACTTTGGCGATTGTGGGAAGGAGCCGGGTATGAGGGAATGAAATGGTAATGGGAAATACAATAAAGAAAGAAAATAAGATACAAAAGAAATAAAAGAAAAGAAGATACAAGAGAAATAAAATAAAATAAGAAATAAAGTTAGGAGTAGAAGGAAGTACCTCCCAGTCTTACAGGGGTACAGGGTACAATGAAAGGGACAGAAGTAGACAAGTTCAAGAAACTGCAGGAAAACAACACAGCTGAGGCACAGCAGCAGGTGGGGGGGAGCAGGCAGGAGTGACAGGGTCTTCCCTAGAGTATCAGGGATGTTCAATCTTACTGTAAAAATACAGGGAGTTCAATGGGTAGAGACACTGACCCTGAAGTTAGAATCCCAGCTCCATCTCTTACTAGCTGTGTGACCTTGAACAGTTTCCCCATTCAGAGTGATGGGGAGGATCAGAAAAATTAATATAATACAGCACTTAAAAGGGTCCCAGCAGTGGTGAGCACTGTGTGGCATGGTTACCATGAGCATCATTCCTGGCTCCAGGCCAATAACAGCTCAGTGGCAGGAACACCATGGCCAGCGGGTGAAGATGGGTGTCCAGGGCTCACCCCTCCCTTACTGACGGCTCCTAGTGCAAAGGAAATTGTGATGCCCCTAAATTGTAATAATGCAACAAGAAGGTAACTCTCAGTGAACGGAAAGGTGCTCTTGAATCTCTTCTCTGATTTCAGAGATTCAATGGACTGTGTAATATTGAAAAAATACTTAAGAATTCTTGCTTTGGAGCTGTCCTAATTTTAGTTCAAGAAGATGAAAATGGCCTTTTCTACCTAACTTTCCTTCCAAATTTACTGAGTGTCCCATCATTGGTGCTCCCTCCTCACCAATGGCAAATCTTTTAGACTATTTGTAGTCACTTTACTGCTTCACTTTGCAAGTCAGAAACCTCAGCAAATAAATTTCTCAGTGTCAGCCATGAATAAGGGTCTGATCCCCAACCTAGATGCTCCCAACAGCTGCTGCTATAATGTGAGAGTTTCCTACACTTTCCTGGAACAAAGTGACAAACTTTCTCTGGGTTTTAACAGCAGCTTAATCATGCATTCTTTAAAAAAGAAAAAAAACTATACAGGCCTCAGAACTTACCCCAATAGCTGCTAAGATTGGGGCTTGATAAATCCACTTGATGTCTCCAGCACTAAGTTCCCAGCATCTGAGACATGGAAAGAGCTTTCATAAATAAATTGGCAAAGCAAACAAGCCATGAGAATTAAGCAGTATTTTAAGTTTACCAAAAACCCCAGCCCCCAAGCTTTTAAGAAACAAATAGACTAAAAAAAAAAAAGAAGAATCTTGTAAAACACCCAAATCAGTGAGGGGAAAATGTGTAAGGGGCTCTGGTCTCCATACTATTAGCTGGAAAGTGTTACAAATATTGGTGAATTACTCCCAAGTAACAAGAGTCAAAACCACGTTTCCAGAGCCACAAAAAAACTAGTCTTCTAAATGACGCACAACTGACACTTCATTTTTATTACCATTGGAATGATGAAGTGCTTTGACTCTCAGCAGTCACAGCAATTCTATGTTATAGCTTCATAACTTATAGAACACTGACAATAATGCAAATCATTCTTATCTAAAGGAATGCAGTAGACAACTTACACAACAGCTTTTCTATCTTTGGGGCACACCCGCTCAAATCTCATTTGGAGTGAACTTCCTGTCTCCTAAACTCTAAAGGTCCCCGCAAGACCTGCAACCGGGGGATCAATGGGCAGCGGCAGCTCGTCCTGGGCCAACCCCCTGAACCTGTCTCCAAGGCTTCCTTTTCTCTGACTCTCCAGTGAGCTCACCACAGAGCCCCCTGCCTCACTTCTTTCCCATAACATTTCTACAGAGACAAAGCAGCGCCTGGGCTCTCTCCCATTGCTTCTTTTATCCCAGGCCCTTCCTTGCTTCACTGCCCCCAGCTTTAATCACTGTACTCTCAACATCGAAAAAGGGAAAAGAAAACTTACCATAACGCAAATGCGTCTTACTGATAGGGATGCAATAGAAAACTGAATACAAATGATTTTTGTCCATAGAAATAAAAATTAGCCATGTTAGGTGAAATATAATTGACCAGTGACCCGTGAATTTTGACTAGTTTTTGCATTTATTTGTAAATTTATTTTTTTTATTTCTCCTTTGGAGCAGTTATCACATCTTACTGGTTCAGTCATTTATTACTGAGTTAAAAACAAATCTTCAACAGGTGATCTATATTTGTATAGATCCACAATGTTACTTTTCATTTTTAAAAGTTTTTAGCAGTATTTGATGAAAAACACTATATAACTTACCTAATTGTTATATTTATCTTTTACTTCCCTCCCGCCTAACCAGAATTTAAGTTCTATATGGGCAGGGATCATCTGGTTCTTGTCTTCCATTGCATTATAAGTGCCTAGACTAATACATAGCATATAGGTATAAATATTTGTTGAATTGAACTGAATTCAAAGTAAGTTTGACTGAGCTTCACCCAATCTGGTCTTTCACTAGAATAACTAGCATAGAGTTGATTAAAACTACTTCCACTTAAAACTTTGATGTAGAACTTTAAAGAAATTATACATTTTTTCCTTTTTATTGAATTTATTGGGGTGACATTGATTAATAAGATTACAAAGGTTTCAGGCATAAAATGCCATAATACAACAATGTAGATAACATTAGCCCTTGACAGCTAAAATCTCCAAATAGCATGAAGAGATAAAGGCAAGTAAAAATGGAAAGCTAACAAAGGACTGAGGGAAGCTGATGAATGGCGAGTGTGGGAACAAGTAGTGGGAGGCTGCACCTAAAGACGATCATCCATAGAGATCAGATTTTCAGAAACAGAGACATATTCTTTATACAGTGCACACACTGACATAGTGTGGCAATTTTTTTCATTGCTTAGCAGACAAATTATTTCTGAAGAAAATACCTGATAACTCAAAATAAACATGTAGGCTCAGATTAAAGAAGGGGTCCCAGGAGCTAACAAAAATACTGTCCTGAAGTGTACACAACTTGCGGATATTAAATTGGATTGTGTTTATAACATAAAAGAATGGTCAGCACAACTGCAGGTGGGCTGAGTTAAAGCTGCCTCTGTTTACATCACTTCCTCATCTACCGCTAGGCTCAGACTGCCATCCCGATACATCTCAAACCGGGGGGCATAAACAACAGACATTCATTTCCTCCCAGTCCCAAGGCTGAAGTCCAGGACCGGCATGCCAGCCAGGTCCATTCCTGGTGAGGCTTCTCTTCCTGTCACCTTGCTGTGTGCCCACGAGACCTACACTTTGTGTGCACAAGGAGAGACAGGAAGCCCTGTGGTGTCTCTTCTTATAAGGACACTAATCCTATCATGTCAGAGCCATAGCCGTCTGACCTCATTCAACCTGAATCACCTCAGTATGGACCCTGTCTCCAAATGCAGTCTGATTGGGGGTTAAGGCTTCCACAGATAAAGTCTGGGGAGACACAGACCACTCTGTAGCAATCAGTTTGACTACAAGAGTGCACATCAGGCACCTGAACTCTTTTCTACTTTCTCCTTTTCTTTCTTTGACTCATCATTACAAAAAATAGAAATAATATGAAAAATTAAATGTTTCAGTATCCATTAATCACGTGTCCCCGGAAGACAAACATAGACAAATGGGGAGTGGGGGAGTGAGTCACTAGGATGGATTCCACTTCGAACATGCATTTGCTTTGTTGTTTAAAAATATATAATTATACTATAGAAGACAAGAAAACAAATGGAATGGATGAAACCCATAGTAGTCACTAAATATAAATAAGTAATAAGTTGGGCACATGTATGTTAAACACAGGTATTACATATATGTGGCAACTGGGCACTAAATATTCATGATACGCTAAATATACGAGGCACAAAATATCTTGGATATACAGTAAATGCTTAATATTCGTGACTTTTAATTGAGCCACTGATTGGTGAAACCCATGCTCACATGTCCTTTGCCCAAGTATCTCAAATAAAGCCCAGAGCTGTTCAGCTGGCTACCTGGGAAGCTACGGCTGTGGTCCAGCGTACCTGCACCTGCATCTCTCTGAGACAGCAAGTGTGTGTCATTGGCTCAGGGCACCTTCTGGCTGTGGGTCCCCTGGCTGCGATCTCATCACTGGTGCTCGTAAACACACCATCAGTGGTGAAAGCTGATGTGGCAGATGAAGCAAGAGAACAGATATGAATATTGCCCATCCCAGGACTCAGGTCCTTCCACCTACTTGCACCATATCCTAACTGCGTTAACTCACCCATGAGTTTCCCCTTGTATTAAACTGATTTCACAAGTCATGAAATTTGAGCATCCTAATCTAGTCTGTGAGTCTTTCCATTCCAAGACCTCTGGGATGCATAGCTTGCTGGTAGTGTATCAGAGGCTACCATTACATCAAGGTAATTTCCCACACAACATCCCTGAAGGGTGATGCCATCGAGCGTGAATTCCAAGCAGCAAATCTGCATCTTGAGACAACCTGAGGCTCTCTCTTTGCCCCTTCTTTGCACTCACCTTGCATCAGCCAGCATTGCCCGTGCCACGGCCCAGGCTGCAACAAACACGGCTGGGAACCCTGAAATCAGAAAAGAACACAGAGGCTGTCTTTCTTTTAAGATTAAGGACTTTTTCTCTTACATTCATCACACATAAAAATATACTATTAAAAGTTGAGAGAGAAAAAATAGACATGAAAAATGTGAATATGTGCACAAGAAAAAGTCTAATTTTCATTGCATTCATTTGAGAAATGAGCCAATACAGGGGTGTTATTTGGTCCCAAAAGTAAGAAGATGAAGGTTGGCTCAGTTCTCATTTGACAGATGTACAGTCCAGCCATAGGGAAAGCGGACTAAGGTTCCCGGGGCCAGGGCAGGCAGTGGCTGGTGCACTGAGGTGTGACTCTTGCCGTGCTCACCGACAGTCACATGGTTTCGGGGCAGAGTCAAGCAGCAAGAGGGACTCATGAGGAGCTGCAGGGAGGCTGTTGTTTCGAAAAATTAGAAGTCTTCATTCTAAAAGTGGAATTTCAGTGAATTACAAAATCAGAAGGTTTTGATCAGTGTAGCCTCCTTTTCTTGTGTGTGTGTGTGTGTGTGTGTGTGTGTGTGTGTGTGTGTATACTCATATTGACTCAAGACAGAAGCATTTGCAAGCATTAACAGGTTAGCGAAGGGTGGTCACTATGTTAGTGTGACGAGTTTGCACCTCGTTGGTGATAAGCACCTTGTGAGTTTGTAACAGTCAAATCTACTACACTGAGTTTCCACCAGTCTGTTGCTCCCAGGAAAAGCTGACCATTCAGTTTATGCTGTAGTTAATAAGACTTTGACATCACAGAAAGTAATTATGAACCATAACTTTTATGGAACATTGCATTAGGGGACCAAAGGATTTGATGGATAATTTTCATTATGTGGCTTTCATAAAGAAGATTTTAAAAAGAGAGAGCGAGACCATGATGAAAAAAATTACAGAAGCTAGGAAACATCTTACAAAGGGAGAGAAAAAGTTTTCATCTAACTTAGAATTTTTTATTAAACATAATATTAAATTCTTTACTTTTCAACAACATATCTGTAATTTTTCAGATATTACTCCTTGGCAAAAAAGTGAACAAAGAAATATATTCAAAGAAAAAACTTTCATGAGAAAATGAGAATAAGATGTAACTCTACAATAGAGAGGTCTCCTCAGCAAATTACCTCATTGAATTTAACTTCAACCTGCCTGCGAGACTATTAATTTTATGATTCTACACTCCAATGTTACTTTCTGTTTGTATGTAACTCCTATTTTTAAAAATCTGCTCAAATTCTATCTTCTAGAAAAATTGTTTTTGTCATAATAGATTGATTACTTCTTAGGTCCAGCTCACTTATCCTGTCTCTCTCTTCCCCTATCTATTCAGCCATCCAAGTATTTGCATCCCTGTTTACCCAGTGTCTACCCACACATCCAGTAAGCATTTATTGTCTGTCCTGGGTCAAGGATTGTTCTAGTGTCTGAAGATAAAACAATGAACAGGTAAACAAAATCCTTGTTTCTCTGAAACTTATAGTGAAGGAGGCAAGATTAATAGTACAACTACAGTTATCAATGGCGATTTGAAGAAAAACAAGGATGATACAGCATGGCTCCTTCTGCCAGCATGGTTCACAAAGGCCTGACATGTCCCTTTGCTGCCCTGACACCTTGGCTATCTTTAGAGAGTGGTTGTCTTCCTTTGAGCCAAGTTTCCACATTCTCTCACCTGCGGGTCTTTATCTTCTGCTTCCTTTACCATCTCCTAATCAGGCAATTTCCTGAATGATGTTCTACCGCATGCATTGATTAATGGTGCTTGAATTAGAATTATGTTTCAGATGATAATCAGAACAAATATATTATATCAGGTACCATGTCTCAATAAATATTGCTTTTCTCATGCTCTTGGAAGACTCCCATTGACAAGACTAGCATTAAGACCACCATGGAGGAATAAAGAGCAGAAACCGCTTAGGGGTTCTTTAAGGTTGTTTGAACCACCAACCTTAGTATCACATTATCACATAACTGAGAACACAGAAATATAGGGAAAATGTTCAAAATTCAATGTTATTTTAAATTTAAGTGTCCATTTAATGTTAATATAACTAAATATATGCATTTACCTTGAGAGCTAAGTTATTTTCATAAAATATCTCAGCATAAGTAAGTGACTTTGAGAGGCAATGTCTGGTCTGCGAATAAGTAGATTTGGGTTATGGTGTGGCTCCATTAGTATTCTCCTTTCAAATGAAGGTTTCAACTAATAATCAAAAATACTTTAGCAATTAGACTCTTCAAATAAAACATACACAGCCCCCCACAGCAAAAAGACAGATGCTTTGAAGCCAAACAGGGGGAGCAGATTCTCCTCATCTTGTCTATGTAGTTTCATCTTGTTTTAAATACTTCAGAGGCTTCACGGAGCCCCACCTCAACCTTGCCCTAATCCTATGGTGCTATTCCAGACTTGTGAAGTCGCAGACTGATCATAGAGTTAGTCCTAGAAATCAGTGACTCATCAGGACACGGGGACTCTTAGATTCACTACAGACATACAATGTCTTAGAAACAATAAACCTGGACGACCCTGGGAATCCAGGATAGTGACTGCCCAGACATGAAGCTCCGGGCTGTGCCTCCAGGTCCCTCACTATTTATGGCAGGATGCTCCAAATCATCCCAGCTGGTCCTTTCTTTAAGGAACCTAGAAGTCCCCTATACAACTTCCACAGAATCCTTCTCATGGGACTCTAAGCCAACAATGAATTAAAGCATCTCTCTGTCAGGAAAACTGCAGAGCCCTTGAAAGTCTTGTTGTTACAAAGAAGACTGTCTATATATGAAACTGTAGAAAAGCTGCCTCCTGCTGAGATGAAATTATTACAGGAAACAAAAGAAATCTTTAAAAAATATATCACATTTATAGTCAGACCACAAAATACTTGCGAAAACTAGAATAAGGCATTATAAAAAAGGACCGATATGAAACAGAAGATCTGCAATGGAAAAGAGAATATGTTTGCTGAGTTAAATATTGCCAGTGTGCAGAAACTGTAGAAAATCAAATTGATGGTGAGGAGGTTGACTCTTGGAACCAAGTAAACTGAGAGAGATAAATCTGCATCACTGTTAGAAATATGAATCTGAAGTTGGCTATCATTCATTTTCATTTACAGAGGTAATAATCTATATAATTTTAAATGACTGAGTAAAACCCCAAATTACAGCCTAAAAAAGTGTGGGAAGAGTGATAAGCAGACAGTAGCAAGTTCCTTATCTTTTATAAGGCAAAGCCAAAATATAGCTATTTTATTAACTTGAATGGGTAATATAATTTTTACTTTAAGGTAGCTTTCAGTAGAATTAATAAAGATATTAAAAACCATAAGGGAGAAGAGAGATTTTTCTCTTTTAACTTATGTTTGAAGTAATACAATGAGATTTTTAATTATATGAAGCTGTAATATTGACTATCAAAATAATCACATAAACAGATTTTAAGTTTATTTATTTTATTTTTGGAGCATAAGGGGGAGAGAGAGAGAGACATCACTGTGTTTTCCCACTTATTTAAGCATTCACTGGTTGCTTCTTATATGTACCCTGACTGGGAATCAAACCTGCAACCCTGGAGTATCAGGATGACTCTTTAATCAACTGAGCTACCTGGTTAGGCTAAACAGATTTTATACATTAAATATTTTGAATAGAATAGATATCATCAGAACAGACAAACAAAAAGCAAAATAAGCTAAGTGGTCAGACTGCATGCTTCCTGTGGGGTCTCTGCCCATATCCCTGCATTTCAATTGTAGTTACGGCCAAATGAATAATAAAATAGTGTTTCTGGATTGAGCTCATTCTATACAGAGCTAATAAAACTAGAGATGTAGTACCTTCTTTTATTATTCTCAGAGGATATAGAACATGAAAATATTCTACGTGAAAGCTTGGCAATAGGGATATGACTACATGGTATAACCAGAAAAGGTGCTTTTACAGGAATATGTACATTCTGACATAGCACTTAACAGTTGAAGATTAAGGATGGCTCCTCCGCCCTGACCCACGTGGCTCAGCTGGTTGGGTGTTGTCCCACAAAGTGAAAGGTCGCTCGTTTCATCCCCAGTCAGGGCACAGGCCTGTTTTGTGGGTTCAGTCCCCGGTCCAGGCCCGTACAAGAGGCAACCGATCGATGTTTCTCTCTCACATGGATGTTTCTATCCCTTTCTCCCTCCCTTCCCCTCTCTCTAAAAATAAATGAATAAAATCTTTTTTAAAAGTTTAAGGAAAAGAGGATGGCTGCTGATATGGAGGTAAATTACTTTCAATAAAGATAAAGAAACAAGACTGACACCTTTTAAATAGAGAACTAACTATGTTTTTCGAGTGTGTAGTTAAAAAGACAAAATAGAATCAAGAATAAAGTGCCATATTTATGAGAAAACTGAGGCAGAGATGAGGAAAACAAGGAACAAGGATGGTTGAAAGAAAAGAAACATACTCATCACCAGTATTTGGCTTCCCACCTCTATACATCTTGTTTTATAATAAAGATGTGTAAAAGCAGTAATTTTAAATATTTGCCTTCAATTTACTAAAGGTCAGATGTGACATCTGATCCTTTTTAGCTTGTCATTTCCTTCCCTTCCAACGGATTGCTAAAAATCAGCAAAATCAATATAAATGATGTAACTGCACACCCAGCTGAAGAAAGCTAAAGTTACAGTGACTGCATCTAAATAAATACCAAAGAAGTCCCAGCAAGCTCTCCTCTCTAGTGAAGCCAGCAAATCACATCCTTGAAAAAAGAAGGAATTATTCTAGCAAAGGACCCTGGCAAAGCAGCTGTAATGTTTTTGATCATTATTTTTCTCATAGTAATTTGGAAAAATTAGTAAGAAATAAAAATGTTTTAAGATCAGACTCTCAATAGTGAGGGGGGAATGGTCTATTAATCAAACAGACATTTCTTTCTTAAATAGATGCATTTGTGTAGCAGACAGAGAGTCTTCAAAGAATATTACTATTCTTTTAATTATATATGTCCTAAACTGGAGCCCTTACTTTTTTTAAAAATGTAGTTTAAAAGAGAGGGAGTCAGAAGAGAGACCAACCCTAGAATCATAACTCTATAAAGATTGGTTATTAGTGTTTCAGACTATCGTTAATGGAGTGAGCATAAATGCATTTTCAAAGTGAGCTTCCATGTAAATCCTCCTTGCTTTCATGTATGTTCTTAAGCCATTCGATAAAATGATTTCAAAGAGTGATGCATATCTCTTTATTGTAGTTATCATTCCTATCACAAAACTTTTGTGAACAAATTAAAGAAGTTGTTTTAAAAAAGGTAAGAATCTCTTACTTATATAGAAGCTCACTGGACTTTTTAATTCTCTTTTCAAAGAGAGACTTGACAACTAGTTTCCTGGGTTTCAGTGAAACAAAGTTCAGACCATAAGGGAGAGCAGAACCGACATTTTCATTGGTTAGCTATCAAACCAGAGTAAATAAAGAAAAATGAATGAATTACAATTGTGTGACCACTGCTGTAGAAATCTAAAAATATATAATGTAATTCAACATTTATTGATAAATGTGTCAGTAAATTAACACTTTACTAATGTCTAGTAAAATGGGCCAAGAAATATTCTGATTTTGGAGAGGGGAAAAAATGGGCCAAGAAATATTCTGATTTTGGAGAGGGGAAAAAAATCCTTCCAATTTCATCTTGAGCCACTTAGTTCATTTTTTTGCTATACTGAGCACCTCATAATTTTATATTAAAATAGCAATCCTGATATGCAATTGCTAATCTTGAAACTTCTTAATATTAACTACATATGAGTTTTAATTTGTCTTCAATTATAACAAACATCCTTTTCTCCACATCATGTTGCATTCATGCCTAGTCCAATCATCCCTGCAGTAGTGATAAGGCATCTTTGAAATGTGAGCTGAATATCTTTTTTTTTACATTACTTATCCCATAAGGAATTTGAATTATTTCTATCCAAAAGACATGCTAAATCTACATAATTATTTTGCACTGTTTATTGTGACATGTAGTCAAGATGGTCTTACAAATTCCTGTCTGGCATTTTCATCAGACAACCTACAAACACAAATCAACAATGAGCCATTTTAGCTCAGAAATTCAAAAATCAAAAATTTTAGGATGAAATTATTGCTCAATCAGGACACTGGCATAAGACATGAACAGAGCAGTTCCAAATGTGTAATGCACACAGTGTGTTCTTTTGTATTTCCACCAGAAAATCCTCTCAAGGATCTGGCCTAAGAGCACGAGCCATACATTAACCATGAAAAGCCTGTTGCCACTGGGAAAGTTATAGCCTTGCTCTTACAATTTTCCTCAGTGAACAATGAAAGAGAAAGAGGGAGGGATAAAGATAAAATGAGGAGCGATGACTTCAGGAAAATGGTTGAAAGAATGTTAATGACAGGCATGGCAGAAAGCCCTAACATCCATAATACACTTTCAAAGAAAAAGAGACATAATTTCCTTACCCCAGCCTATCAAGGTGAAGCCCCACAGGTATTTGGTGTCGGAAAAGAAAGCCACAAAGATTAGACTATGCAGGTAGAGACCTTCCACCAAGATCCAATAGTAGTTTGTAGCCAAGAAGTAAATAAACATCACAACAGCAATCTTGCACCCAATCTGTTGCAAACAAACCAGAGTGGAATTATATTAGAACTCCTCATTCTACTGAGTGCCAACGACAACGACTGAAAAGCGACTCCTCATTTTCCTTTTTATAATCTGCCTCTTGACATATCAAGGCCAAGGCATTTGAAAAAACTATAATAAAATTATGTTAACACAGCGTTTTTTATCATTGACAGAATTGCAGATGTCCCCCATTTTTCCTCTCTTTGCCCCCCTCCACCCAGCACCCCACAACCCCAGCTTTCTCCACACTGTAGTCTGTATCCACGGGCTTTGCATGTATGCACACATGAGGGGGGACCAAAACCAGAATTTATTTATGAAAGAATTGTGTATTTATTCTTACATATTAAACTTCAGTCACCTTCAAAGACTCTCCACTTGATGCAACACACCTATTGAGATGTTTTTTCTACTGTTCAAAACAGTTTTTGAACTCATCAATTTTGATGCCTTTTCATGCCTCTGCCATTTTTTGTTTCACCTCTTCCACATCAGCAAAATGTTTCCCTTTGAAAACTTTTTTTCATTCGGGAAAATGAAAAAAATGTTCTTCTGGGCAAGAATAGGTGAATAGGGTGGGTTGGGTATGGGGGGTCGTGCAGTTTTTGGCCAAAAACTGCTGAACACTCAGCACAGTCTAGGCTGGTGTGCTAATAAATCACACACATCATGAAATGAAAAGTGCTGAGTCTTCAAAAAATTTCACTGAAGCCAAACGTGACCTCTCACAACAACACCAGCTGGTACACTGATACAGATGGGCTCTCAGAACAAAAATCCAGTGTACTACAAGGGCCTCACCCTCCAGAAGATAATCCCAGGTTTTGGGGGGTCTCCCCTCATATGTTCTTTCTTAAGATAGTAAATTTGATTCTATTTCTAAAATAAGATTTTTTCTTAAAAAATTATTTTAAAAATTACTTTTTCTTAATTATTTCTGTTTAGAAAAAGTACCCATGATCACTACAGAAAATGAGGAAAGTATAGAAAAGCAATAAGAAGAAAATATTATCCATCATTTTACCATAAATTCATTTTATTCTGGTATTTTTTATGCCCCAAAAGTTAATTACTTAAAACATTAAATACATTGTATGAATCTAATGATTGCTAGGTGACTGTGCTGATCTGGGCCAGGCTCAGCTGATCTTGGTTGGCTAGGCTTCCTCCGAAAGGTCTACCCTCAACAAGCACACTATCACCTCTGCGTGGTTCTGCTGGGTAAAACAAGTCACAAAGCCAGTCTAGAATTGGGATCAGCAGGGACTACAAAGCTACACGGCAAAGGGCAAAGATGCAGACAGGGCATTGACTCGTACCAACAAGACAATTAATCTACTAGACTTAACGTCTAAACATATTGCTTCAAGGAGCTAATTAAATGAAACACTGGGTGATTCTATTTAGTAAATAACACCAAGATATTTAACAGCAGGATTAGGTATCATGGAATATTATATTGAAACAAGTCTGTGCTTCTACAATAAAGGACCTAAATGTCATAAGCTTTTAAATTCCAAGCTTCTGGTTTTGGAGGTGGTGACAGCTGTTATGTTATACATCAAATGCCATTTCAATCATGTGCTTTTTGCAGTTGCCATTCCAGAATATTCTTGAATGAGCAATTAAACATGAGACTTGAGCACAGAATTGAAATAGTAAGCATCAGCACACAAATTAGTCATCTACTTCAGTTAGTCTGGAGATAAAGATAAGCCCAAACAAGTTAATACATATTCAGTGACCTGTAAGATTTTACTTATGTGTAATGTTCTACAAGTCAGTAGTGAGAGAAAATGGTGAGAACACTTACATATTGTGATTTGTCCATAGAAGGCGCATCTATGAAATTCTGTAGGTCGTCCTGCATCATCAGGGACTGCAGCTCCTCCACCCCTATGTGAGCATGGACCACTCTGTCCTTGACAAAGATGCTTGCAGCTCTCAGCATGAAAGACACAAATAAGTGCAGGTGGATATAGTTCCTGGTGCAATGCAATCGTCTATGGAGAGAAAATATTCGGTTATAGATTTATCTAAAAATAGAAATGGGCAAAGGAAATATACAAATGGGCCCAACCTCCTCCCCCCCCCCAAAAAAGGAAAATGTAATAAACCTGAACAAAGACAGAAAACCATTATCATATATTTTTCAATGGAAACAACTGGGATCAATAACTAAAATGTGACTTTTCAGAAATTAACTTCAAATTTGTCCTTATCTGCTACCACGTTCATGCAGACTTTGCAGTGTTAAACATCATATTCGACTACACTAGAGCATTATGTTGTACTGCATATCGGCTCATAGAGAACCCCTTGAACAGAGATAAACATCGCCAAGACTGTTAACTTTCACATTTTCAATATATTCTCTATAAGAAAAAGTGAGATATTGTTATAGCATTATACAGTTTATTTTCTAGGCATGATGGAGAGTAAACAAGCTTATTTGAACATAAAAAGCTTTGAAACTATAAAAGGATCATAGACACAAGTGAAGTCAGTGACATACTTCATTTGTTAGATATCATAACACTAATTTCCAGTGCAGAAGGCTAACTCCAAAAAAAGAGTTTTTCTACAACTTTGATGGAAAAAAAAACTCTAGGAAAAGGTATAATCTGGTCCAAAGGCCCCGCTCAGCCACTGCTTGATTGTGAGAAAACACAACTCTCTATACTACTTCTCCTCCAGAAGACCAAGTGCCCAAGTGCCAGGGGGTAAGAAAACTTTTAATCCAATAGCCTCTTTCTCTATTTCATAAGCTAGAATGGGAAGGTCAGATGAAAATAAGCTAAACTTAGACATTCCACAAGTATTACACGTTAATATGTTAGGGACATATGTTTCTGTCCCTTGTAGTCCTCTCAGACTGGCTCTTCAAGGGGAGTGTCTTCACAGGTGAGCAGCATGTGGCCAGAGAGTTTATCATAAGCACATGAGGATTATTTACTGTGATTAGTGCCACCCCAGTATATAGTAGGCTTTGATTTTTCAGAGACTGGACACTATTTGCTATCCGAAGAAAGAAGATTTTTGTTTTGTGAAACAGAAGAGTTTCTGAAATTCTTGTATAATTCATTTTTTGTATAGTATAGCAATTACATAGAAAGTAATCATTAAAAACTCCACTGTTAAATACTGTGATGAACTGTTATGTAAATTAAAGAATTGTTAGTCACACAGATGCTCCTGAAATGTGCATTTCTCATAAACACTTGTGTCTTATTCTGAATAAGCACAGTTGAGCTTGGTGTATGGAATGGCCGCTGGATAGGAGTCAGCTAACGAAGGCTCTGTTTCCGGTTGGACCACCCATCACCTGTGACCTCGGACAATGAGCTTCGTTTTTCTTGGTCTCTAAAATGGGATAAGGCCTGCAAAGCCAATTTCATAAGACTGTTCTGAGGAACCCCTTTGTAATCCCATAGTTGTGATTGTGGTACCTTTCTACTTCAAACTTTATTGTCTCCCTGTTACCTACTTTTAGAAGACAAAATTCGAAGCCCCTGACAAGCACCTGCAAAACCTAGTGCCACAAAATCCAGTCTCTTCCAGGACATTCCAAGTGGCCGCCCCTCCCTACACACGGAGCACTGTGTTCGTGCAGGACCCTTCTATTTCCCCAGCTGTCCTCTGCTCCTTTGTACCTCTGACTGTTGCACATTCTGTTCTCAGCCTCCGGAATGTGCTGAACTCCTTCTCACCATTCAATGTCAGCTCACATGTCTTTGTTCTGGGAAGTTTTTCCCATCTTGCCAATTCCAGACTGCCTCCTTGGTGTTCCCAAAACCCTTTATATAATAGAAACTGATATTCTAGTACTAACAATATTTTATTTAATAATGACAGTACTAATACTATTTTATTTAATGGGTTGGTTTCTCTCAAGGCTGTGTACACCATTTTTCTGGTGTACAGCATAACTTGGCCGCCATTGACGCCCAAAAGAGTCTATCACATGATAGAGAAAAATGTTTGTTCAATAAATGGCCTAGTGAATCAATAAAGAAAAAGCTTTGGAAATATAAACTGTGCCGCTGCAATGTAGGTAACTGTGTGAGGAGAAGCTTTGAAATATCAGAACTAGTCATTTATTTATTAATTCAACAAATATCTGAGTACCAGTGCATACCGATCAAGTACATTGTGGCTACTGAAAATGTAGCAATGAGCAAACAGAACAAAATAAGTAAATGCCTAGACATGTTGCTTCACAATCTAGAGGAAGAGACAAAAAATAAAAAGATAAATAAGTAAATCAGGTAGTACATTAGATAGTAATAAATCAAAGGAAATAAACAAAGCAGAAAATAGGTGTGAGATGTTTCAAGAGATGGTTATAATGTGATAGGAAGTAAAATATAAAACTTTTTTCTAGTTGCAGTTTCTGTTAGCTTCTAAATGCTCTATTTCAGTTTTTTAAACTATGTCCTCACTCCTTTTCCCACACATAATTTAGCACTAAATTCTTATCCGTGTGCTATCACAAATACTGTATCTCAAAACCTTCCATTTCCATCCAGTCCCTAGGGCCACTGCCCAAGCCCAGGCCACCATCTTTTGTCCTGGATTGTTCTACAGCCTCTTCCAAATGGGCTTCCTGTCTCACTTCCCCCAGCTCACACTCCACCTCCCAGTGCGAGTGCCCTTTCTTGTCACTCCTTCGCTTGAAATCCTTCAATGGCTCTTTCTGACTCTTAGGGTTATGTTCAGTGCCTTACAACCTGCAGTTCTCAATAGCTTCTCAACCAGCTTTCCTCTCTCTTGATGCCCATCACTTACCTACACCAAAATTCCAATCACAAATACTCTACGCTTTTTTAAAATCGAAACTTAGGTTTGGAACTCTCTTCCCCAGTTTCCTCTTTTGGTTCAATCTTACTTGTACTCATGTATTTTTGAGACTCCCCTTCATTTGGGAGGTCTTCCTTCATCTCCTTCCTCTGCTCTCCCAAGTTACTGACAACCAACCGGACCACTGCCCTTCTCAAGCTGTGCACTAATGGTGTCCTCAGCCATTTGAGTTACAAGCCACCTGCAAGCATCCTGAGCATATATAGCCTATCCACGTTGTCCACTGTTCTATCTCCTTATTGGTAATCAAAAGTTTGTATTGGTATAGATTAAGTTGAATTAACTTGAACAAATAAGTAGATAAAGACTACACCAGAGCAAATGTAATAAATACTACTTCTTGATATATGACATCAAATAATTTGGGAGATTTAAAATGAATTTCTGTCCAGTGTCACCAAAGTCATTTGGGAAAAGTGACACAAGTCACTTTTCATCATGAATGAAAATGTATGTAACTCCTTCAATTCTATTCTGCATCACTTTGCAAACAAATACACTGCAATGCATATCTATTGGCTTTAGGGTGTCATAGTGCTTTGATACTTTAAGATTTTAAACAAAACCCTTCTCATGAAAACAATAAATTGTCAAAGTCAAGTAATACAATAACATTAAGCTGAATTCAAAACCTGAGTTGGGAAAAATATTCAGGGGCACAAATCGTGAGGCCTCCATGTCTTCTGTGAATAAAAATATGAATGGGAAACACGCACCTGAAGTAGCCAATGATGAGAATAGCCACAGCCAGTGAACCGAAGGAAATGGAATATCCAACAGTGTACAGGACGTAGAGGCGCTCAAAGAGTTCCTGCTGCAGGTGAAGAGATTTAATCAGAAAAGCAGGTTTGAGCCAATCAGTCGATGTAGGTAAACTTAAAAATCACACTTCTGCCAGTTTAGTGAGAGGCAATGTGTTATCACATTCATAGAATACTATAGATTACCCCCCTAGTCTTCCTTTTATCTCCTAAACTGAAGTCATGATTAAAGATGTAATAATGATATTTGGCATTTCTCATTACTTAAGTGAGGTCAAATTAAATGTCGCAATGTTTATTTCATATATTTTTGTATTGTTCATTTTAACTAATTGGAATGAAACATCAGGTACATGGAGTAAACAAAACACATGTTATGGGACTATTTTAAGGAGAAACTGGCAAAAATATGTCAGTTTTGGCATATTACTTCTAGCTCCCCTTAACTTTTTTATTGAGCTATAATTTACATAAACTAAAATGTACTAATTTTAAATGTGTGTGATGGGTTTTGACGAACCAAGTTCATTGTGCCCCTTGCAAGTCAAAAAACCACCCACCATCCACCCCCAGTGAACTCCCATTCCTATTTCTGTCACCGTAAATTAGCTCTATTTGTTCGTGTATTTCATTTACTTCTTGACTGTTCCTGGAGTTCCTAGAATTACATAATATATGCTCTTTTTGTCAATATACTGTTTTGAAACTCAGTGATGCTGCATGAATCAAACTCATTCCTTTTCAATTTTTTTATTTGAAAACAATAAAGTCACAAGAAATGGAAAAATAGTAAGAAAGGTCCCATGTACCCTTCACCCAGGACTCTCCAGCGGTTACAGAAAAAAATAACTATGCTAAAATATCAAAATCAGGAATTTGACATTGGTGCAATTTGTGTGTTTTCTGTGTCATTTTAATGCACCTGTAAATTTTTATCCCCATCACTGCAATCAAGACAGAGAGCTAGTCCATCACCACAAAGACCTCCCTGTGCTGTCCCTTTGCCCCCTCCCTTCCATCCCTAACAGCCAGCCACCATTCATCTGCTTCCATCTCTACAATTCTGTCATTTCATAAATGTTCTATAAGTGGAGTTGTGCATACAGTAAGTGACCTTTTGAGAATGGCTTTTTTCACTCAGATAATGACCTCAAAACCCATTTAAGTTGTTGCATGTATCATCAAGTTTGTTCATTTTCTATTGCTAATTTTCCCACTGGCTTTATGCACCTTTTTCACTAAATCATCTAACATATTTATAATAGTTTGTCATTAAGGAGACATCTGCTAATTTGAACACCTGGGTCATCTGTTTCTTTCTGCTGTTATTTTTACTCTAGATTTTGGATCCCTGCCTTGTAATTTTTTATGATATTCCAGGCATTGCAGGTCAAAGTATAGCAGGAACCAAGTACATAATTTTAGTGGCCTGAAAGGGACAGACCTCTCCTTTTCTCAGGCTTCTTGGTGGGGTGAATGGATTACTCTGTTCTTAAACTGGAGTTGGGCTTTGTTGTAGCTTTTGTTTTGCTTTCTTTATTATGATTCTTTCATCTTGGTTTTAGGCTTTGAGAGCTATGTCAAGACATCCCCTTCAGCAGACCCCAGGATCCAAGCTCTGGCAACCTCTGGTGTCCATTACATGGGCTTCAGTCCTACCGACAAGTCCCCAAGCCACAGGAGAACTCTTTCTGTTGTTTGAACCACCCAGCAGCTTTTTAAGTTGCTGGGGGGTTTTCACTTGGCTCTCCAGCTCTTCCCTGGGCTTTCTGCATCTCAGCAGATCTCACTGCACCCCAATGCCGGGCCCCAGTTTTCAGTGAGGCACTGCCTTGCTTTCAGAGGCATCCAACCTGCAGCCCGCATGCAGCCCAACACAAAATCATAAATTTACTTAAAACCTTTGTTTTGCTCATCAGTTTCATTAGCGTTTGTCTATTTAATGTGTGGGCCAAAACAATTCTTACTCCAGAGTGCCCCAGAGACGCCAAAAGGTTGAACAGCCCTACTAGACCAAAGCCTCTGTGCCTGGGAACAATCTTTCCCAGCTCTGCTTAGTCAGGCTGCTGCCTTTCACGCACCGACATCCGTGCACCGTGGGGATTTCCCGCCCTTCCCTGGCCGGTGGGCTGCAACAGCCATGCACTTAGTGAGGGCTCCATGCGCCTCAACACATGGCTCTCACCTCCTCTGTGTCTTCAGCTTGCTGCTGCCTTCCCCTGTTCATGAGGGCCCCATGCACATCTTGGGGGATTTCTCTCAGCCCTCCTGTGCTGTCCCAGCCCTTGGCACACTGCCGCCTCCAGGCACCCAGGGAAGGAAGGCCCCATGGGAAACAACTGGCTGGTGGGCTATTAATAGCCCACTGTGAGTGGGACTCAGCCCTCCGGATCCTAAGCCCCTGTGCCAACCTTGTCTGTTAAAAGTTGGTTTGAAAGTCTGATTATATCCTTTTTATCCCTTTCCCTGGTTTGGTTGCTCCTCTTCTGCTGCAGACCCAGGACGAATGCATCCACGGGTCTCTTCTCTCAGAGAAAGGGCTTGCCCTCCTCCAGAATTTGGTTCATTTTCACTTTTGGCGTCCTTTACTCACTAATGCATTTTTTACAAATTATTGATTTTGTATCTCACTCCACTTATTGTTGCAACTTCCTGACTAGAAGCGGAAGACTCTGCCTTTGGTTCTTTTTTTAACACTTACTACACGGTATTTTGTTAATAAAACTTTAAAGTGTTTTATATAAAATAGTTGGATAATGTGTAAAATACAAAACAGAGGAAAACAACTCCCAAATTCTCACCAACCAAAAAGAAACAGTTAGTATTTCACGTATTTTTTAATTCTATTTCTATGCATCATTGCCTATTGTGTTGGACATCTTCATCCTCAATTTATACACATTTTTACATGTTTTTTTTCAATTAAATGTATGAGAAAAGAATTTTCTAAGGCCAAAAACCCTTAACAAAAAAATTAAGTTTATTTAACTAGTTCATCATTGGAAATTTTAATTCTTCACAATATCCACATAATTATTAACCCTTCAGAGGTCACAGCTGGTCTAAGAGATACAAATATTTTTCTTCTTTTTTAAAGATTTTATCTTTATTTATATTTAGAAAGAGAGGAAGGGAGGAGAGAAGCACCAATGTGTGGTTGCCTCTCATGTGCCCCAAGTAGGGACTTGGCCTGCAACCCAGGCACGTGCCCTTACTGGGAATCAAACCAGTGACACTTTGGTTTGCAGCCTGCACTCAACAAATATTTTTCTTAATGGTTCAGTAAATCCATTTGGTTCCCCCCCCATTCCAAATCGTTGTGCTTGAATCCTAGAAGTATGATTATAAGCTCAAAGGATAGAACCCTTTGAAGTTTTTAAATATATATTGCTAAATAGCTTCCCAGAAATACACTTTGCCTTTAGACAAGAGATATATGATACAGTAATTTACACAATAAGCTGGTGTTTTAGATCTCATACACTAAAGAATTTAATAATCTTGTAATCTATCATGATGTTTTTTTCCTTCTATTTTATTAAAAGTAATTATCTCATTCTGTCAAGCCAATGATATAGAAATTATTTAAAGAATGAAATAATGGATATTTTAAATATCTTAGTCTTATTTCCCCTACAAAGATGCTGCATTTATTTGAAATGCACACTTTTTTTATTTTGTGTTTCTTATACAAAATTTTTTCTTTATAACCATTAATAACTAATATTGCATAACTAAGTAATATTGTTTTTTCCTAAAGTATCAAAAATGTCAGAAAATATCCAGTTTCCTTATTAGAAGATATTTACTTTTCTTAAGTTTTCTCAAATTATTGCTTATGGTTGTAAACAATAGAAACACTTTCTATTTTTAATTCAAGAGATCAAATTATTTATGCTAACAAAATTCCTCAAATTTTTCAATTAAATTTTAAATCATTTTTATATAAAATAGTGTATATCTTGGGTATATTACCATCCTTAGGTATCTTGATTCTTAGAATACATCATAACCACAAAAAACGGTCATAAAATTAGAGTTCAGTGTAAATAAAACCATGATTGGAATTTAAAGGCCATTTAAAACCTGTGAAAGACTTGCATTTTTTCATAATTAAATGCACAAATAAATTCATCACAGAGTACAGTAGATATCATGAATGTTATTTGTGTCTATGGAATTGAAATCATTTTGAAGCATTTTTTACTATCATTGCTGGCATTCGTTCAACTGCAGAGTATACAACAATCTCACATTCACTAGTTTTGTCTAAGAAGTTCACCAACAATGAAATACAAACTGAAGATCTTCCAGCAACTTACTAAACAGCTCGCTTAGGTAGTAATAATGCCTTATGTTAGAAAAGAAAAAGGTCTGACTATTTACTGAAAAATCAAAGAAATCTTCAACTCACCACTTCTCACCCACTTCCTCACCACCTAAAAAAATCATGCAGCATAAAGAAAAATATCTACTGTCGGAGAGTTTACGTATGACAGCTGCTCTCAGGGCTCTCATAAAAATCATTTACGCACCAGTTTGCCGTGTTCACTCCCGGCCCCCTCTGCATGTCATCATGCATTTCACTCACGTGGTCTGAGTGATAGGAGTTTAAGCATGACTTTAAAGCACCACGTATAACTTAAAAGTAAATATCTAGACGTTTTCAAAGTTTACAGCACTCATGAGAAATTTGTAAATCAGAGCTGTGCTTTAGACCCTGCCGTTCGTGAGCGTGTAACTTTGGTCAACGCTTAACCTTGGGTTTGGAGTTGACTGTCGTGTGTGAAATTGAGGTACCATGACGGAGCACCTGCAGAACGCCCCTTGCTCCTCTTTAATCCTGCAACTCTAGTCTTTCACATACTAATGAAATCAACTACTGGCAAATCTTAAGAGATGGAAAATACATCTCTAAAATACAAAGCTTTTCCTAGAATGTAGAATGAGATGAGAAGCAGACATCTACAGATAATCAAAAGAAAATCAGGAATCATGATGCCAATTACTTACTTAAATCTTTATACATAATATAATCTAATGTAAACATAATGTAACGCAACAATACACAGAAAGACACATATTTATAAGCATATCTGTATGTATCTTAGCCAGGTAACTCTAACCTAAAGAAAATACCAGAATGTTTCAGGCCCTGGACCTTTCCTTAACTAGGTATCTGAAGATCCCAACCTTGTTTTTACCTTTTATAATCTTTGTGTCATAGAATAAAAGGGGTTTTACATATAATGGTTGACAATCAAAAATTGCAAAAAAAAATCATTATTTGGCTTTCCCGTAGGGATCCACAAACACAAAATCACCACTACCTTTCCTATGCCGATGTCTGGCTGAAGAAAGCGAAGGCAGTCTGAATAATTAGCCCAGGTTTTATTTAAACTGTGCATAAAATCCCATGTTCCATTGGGGTTACAGTGTCGGAAAGCAATGCCTGTGAAGACAGGAAGAAAAACAGTGAGATTGCTCAGGTCCCTTAGAGTCCATTACCAAAAAAAAAAAAAAGTAAGTTTCTGTTCCAAATTAACCATTTCAGAAAAACCCAATACCTTTATGATTGAAGTCATAAATATAAGAAGGACATGGGACAGCTGATATTTTCCCCACTTTTCCTCTGGGCCAACAAATGAGTCCATCCCATTCTGGAAAACAATTTCCCTCTGATGAAAAAAGAAATTTAAAAGCAAATAAACAAAAACGCAGTTAGGATCGGAGAGTAAATTCGTTCAAAATATAGAATGTCAAGCCACTGCCTGTAACGAAATGTAAAACAAACCGGTAGTTTTGGAAACTAGAATGAGGTAGATAGGATGTAAATGTCCTAAAATTCACCCACTCAGCCCCATTAAAAGGCCATTGATAGGAACACTTGATTTGCATAAATTTAAAACATTTTAGTGATTCCAACATGAATGAGTTACAGCAATTAATATATAAGAAACATTAGAATTCACTGTGAACAACTTCTGCAGTAAAATTTTTCCAACTATTATAGCTATAGCTACTTTTTGTACCCTAGATTTTATTTTTAAATTGCTGTTAAAAAACATGACATATGAAACAGATTGAGTTTCACAGGTAAGCTCCAAGATGTGGGTTTGCCTTTTACTAACACTTATAGTAATTCCTTTGTGTCTAGCACTCATTTCACAGAAAATTCTCATAAGCCCTCCTCTCCTCCGGATGAATCCACGATCCTCTCACTCCTCACAACCTCCACTGCCACCAGCACGGTCCACGCCCGTCATCAGCAACATGGTCTTCCTGACTCTTGCTTGCTCTCCTTTCATTTCTTCTTCTTTTATTCATTACAGTAGACATTCAATACTCTATTAGCTCCAGGTATATAGAATGGTGTTTAGATATTTATATAATTTATGAAGTGATCCGCCCATAAGTCTAGTACCTACTGGCACCATATACAGTGATCGTAATATTATTGCCTACATTCCCTACACTGTATTTACATCCTCATGCCTGTTTTGTAACTGCCAATTTGTACTTAAACCCTTCATCTTATTCACCCAGTTCCCCCAAACACCCCGCCCATCTAACAACCATCAGTTTGTTCTCCGTATCCAAGTATGTTTCTGTTTAGATTGCTTATTTTGTTATTTAGATTCCATATATAAGTGAAATCACATGGTATTTGTCTTTCTCTGTCTGACTTAGCTCAAAAAGATATATTCATCCATTCCTATGTTCATTGCAGCATTACTTACAATATCCAAGATATGGAAGCCAATCTCAGTGTCCATCCATAGATGACTGGATAAAGATGTGGTTCATATCTACAATGGAATATTACTCGGCCATAAGGAAGAATGAAATCGTACCACTTGTGACAGCATAGATGGACCTAGAGGGCATTATGCTAAGTGAAATAAGTTCTTTAATTTATTCTTAATATAATAGCCCCAAATCACCCAAAGGCTTCCTATCTCCCTCTGAGCAAAAGCCAAGCCTTTACAATGTCTGAAGGCTCCGACAGGATGGCCCTCTCCCTAGATTACCTCCTTGACCTCAACCCCTGCCAAAGGCCTCTTTTCTCTCCTGTGAACTCAACGCCATTGCCTGGGACAGCCTCCAAGGGAATATTCCCTTACCTCCTACGGGTTTTTACCCAAACTTCAACTTCTGAGCAGACTTTCCCCTTGTGAAATTATACCCTGACACACTCTGTATCACCTTTCCTGATATATTTTTTACCTCCCAATATTGTGTTATTTTACTATTGTTTTCTTAAACCATAGGGTTGAAGCCCCTGAGGGTGGGGGATTTTGCCTGTTTACTCTCATGCATTAGCCACCTGGCCCTTAGCAGGGAGGGGCTGAACAAGAGTCAGCAGGTGTCAACACTCAGTTCTGCGGGACTCCTCTCCATTAGTTGTGTATTGACCTTCCAAACAGAGAGCATTTCAGCCATGTTATACTCCGACTTCCCAAACAGAGACCACTCTTCCTAGTCCGACCTTCACAAATTACCACAATTTATTACTTCACCATTCTGTCACTCAGAAGTCCAGCAAGCATGGCTGGATTTCTGCTTCCAGACCCACAAGGCCAAAATCAAGGTGTGGGCAGGGCTGTGTTCCCTTCTGGGGGCTCTGACAGAGAACTGTCTCCTTACTCCCACAGCTGTAGGACTGAGGTCCCCATTTCCTTGCCAGCTGTCACCTGAGGGCTATTTCCAATTTCTAGAAGCTACAAGCATTTCTTAGCTCAAGACCCCCTTCCTCCATCTTTAACATCAACAAAGCACGTCGAATACTTGTCACATTTTGAGTCTCTCGCTTTCCTTTTCTGTGACTCTTCTGCCCTCCTCAACCACTTTTCAGAGCCCGTGTGATCACACTGGGCCCATCCAAGTAATCCAGGATGATCCACCTCTTTTAAGTCCCACAACCTCAACTCCATCTATGATGCCCCTTTATCATGTAACAGGACATGCACAGGCATAACACCAGATATTAGGGAGTGGACATCTTTGGGACATGACTTATTTTGTTAGTAGGGGTACTAGCCATTACAGCTCTCTCAATTTTTTGTTACCAATTACACTAATTGTGGCCGACGTTTTTTCGTTCTCACTAATGTTCATGACCTCAAGTTTGTTCCCTTTTGAATACTCAGCATAACAGAACCTCCCACAAACACAGATCTCTGCAAAACAGAATTCAGCATAAATCTGAAATGCACTTCTTAGTGTCCACCATATCACACAGAAACACGTATTTGATTTGCTTTGTGCCTTGCTGAGGCAATTTTTTAAAAAAGAAAGAAAATGTCTTCCCCCACCCACACTCTTCTTACAGAAGAGAACCTGTTCCCAGAAACAGCCACACTTTGTTCACATTATAAAAGCCTGGGCTTTACATTCTGCAAGAAACCAGGAACTGCTTACACTGGCTCCTGCGTCTGAGGCACAGCTCACCTGCCTCTCCACCCTCACCTGCTTTTTGCCTGGTTGTTTTCCTTCCTGTCTAAACAGAGTGGAATAAATCGATCTCTCCTATCAACTTTGCACCAGACACTCCTCTCTCTTGATAGCATTCCAGATGGCTTCCCATCCATCGCTTTGTCTTTAACAAGCCACGCATCCTTGCTCATCCCCGATGCCCAGTCCTTTACCTGGTAGACATCCACTGTGCAGTCTACATAAATTGAAGCCCAACACACACTCCTGTGTTCTTGTAACGAGTTGTTCCTCTAAAATGTACCTAGCAATGTCATGTGAGGCGTTCTGGCCAGAGTTGAGCACATGATGGAATAAGGTCTTTGGATAAGACTGAAATCCAATGACCAGTTTATTCTATAGTCTTGTGGTCTTTAAACTGCTGTGGAGAAAAATCTCTGATTTTTCCTCATGTTCGGAAAAGGACAGTTTTCTGGTTCCCTACAGGGTACCAGTCCACACACATATGTACACAGACATAACCGCCAAAATCCAGAAAACCAATACTCCCCAAAATAAGGTTTCTATACACATGTTCACCACTCTGGTGGCTTTTGGACAAACACAATGATAACTATTCTCAAAAGCTTGACAAGCTTGAGGAAGCCGTGACCGCAGTGGTAATACAGAGATCTGAATTAACATCTACTCTTTGATAATTATCTCACCCTTATGTGAGTGAATACTTTCATTATTTAGTAAGAAACTAATTAATTGCCTGATGACTCTCCAATCTCCCTTTATAAATTAATACCATTAATCACATTTCCTGTTCTCTTTTGTATGTGATAGGACAAACCAGTACCAGTGAAGTTTGTTAATCTATGATATTTTTCACAGGACAATCTAAAATTTCAAGACTCTGCCTTGGTCTCTTCAGTTCTACAGTAACAATACATTTGTGAGTGGAGCCAGTGTCAATAATACTTGGATTGTGTTTTTAAACACTTGACTAGTTTTATAACTGGTTATTTGCATTTATATTTTCTTTTTCTTTCTTTCATAGACATGAAGAAGATTTTTATTTTTTATTACAAATTTTTATAAACAAAACAGAGAATATTATATATCTATCATCTAGAATTGACACTTGTTAATATTTTGCCATAGTATTTCATATTTATTTTTTGTGGTGGCATTTTAAATTAAGTTGCAGATAGCATAACAACTCACTCCTAAATATTTTAATACGTATCTCCTGATTTTAGAAAAAATTAAAAATAAAAATTTTTTAAGTTAGCTAGTGAATTCAAAATGTCATTCTACATTTTTACATACAAAGGGAAGAAATTTAGAGTCAATTCACATATAATTAGACATCTTTTGTTCAAAGGTAGACCAAAGTTTGACCAGATTTAATTCAATCCTATTTGTATGGAGAAATGTCTCAAAGAAAGTGCCTTTTCTCCTTTAATATTTATCCACCCACTTGTTTCATATGTCCCACACCTTTAGGTGTTATATAAGTTTACATCCAGATCGTCTGCTCTTTTTATGTGCGACTCTGTGGTGTGTCACTGACTCACGCTCGCTTGCCTTCACCTGCGCTGTTCCCTGTGCCTGGAACGTCCTTCCCTTCCTCCTCTACACCTCGCACTCCCCCAGGAAACCCCCTCTAGCCCCTCCACAATGAATTAAGCAGCCTTTTCCATACTCGTGGTGTCTCTGTTGTTAGTAACATCCTACTGAAAATATCAGTCTCCTTAACTATGTCCTAACCTCCGAGGGGCAAAGACAGAATCAGATTCATTTTTTCCAGTGTGTAGTAAGAAGTGACACACTGGGGACACATAGTATATTTGACAAATGTGAAAAGGACACTGAAGATGATAATGTTAGACTAAGTAATCCCTAAGATATCTTCCAGCTCAAAATTTCCTGAGATTTTAGGGAAAATAGCTTGCTCAGCCCTCCATACATAATAATCCTTACAAATTGCTCATGGTGTAGTGCTCCTTCCATGTCCTATCCAGGTAGCACGGCTGACCCCCTTTGACACTGTCAGTCTGGCCATTCACATGGCTGCTTCCCAGTGAAGGCATCAACAAAGGCTAAAATAAGATAAAGACCTTCCTTAAAACATGGCTGGGCTGGCTATGCATTACAAGAATAAATCTGGGGCCAGAAATTATTCTGCAGCGTCAGCAAGCACTGCATTGGAGGCTTTTCTAGGTTAATCACTGAAAGAATTAAATATAATATATATCTCACAGAGTAACAGGGGGAGGAAGGAGGAAGCAAGAAACAAGTCTCGATTCAAAAGAACCCAAAAGAAGGTGGGGTGAGTAGTGGAAGGAAGGAAAAGGTGGTGAAATGAAGAGCCCAAATAAGATGAATTAAATAGTAGAATTAAAATCAGGTACTATATATTATAAATGCAATTAATGTAATTGGACTAAATACTTCAGTTAATAGACAAAGATCATCAGAATAGATAACAAGGAATCCATACATGTCTTATTTATAAGAGACACTACCAAAACATAAGTATACAGAAAAGTTTAGTGAAAGAACAGGAAAAGATAGGGACTTGTTTCATGGACATAAAGTATCAACTTTTGCAAGATGATTGGTTGCACCACAATGTGAATATATGTAACACTACTGAAACATATACTAAAAATGTTTAAGAATGGTAAATTTAATGTTATGTGTATTTTATAATTAGCAACATTTCTAAAGGGTGGAAAAAGATATGTAAGGCAAATACCTATCAAGAGAGAAAGAAATTTTCTTTACTAAATATTGGTACTTTTAATATAATAAATTTATATTATTTTATATTTAAAGCAAAAGTCCACTACAGATAAAGAGGGCTGTTTCATGTCAATGAAAGGTGTAATTTACCAGGAAATATAACATTTCTAAACTTGTATACCTAATATTTTCAAAATATGTGAAGCAAAAAATTCGCCATCATAGTGGGAGATTTTAAGATATAAACCTCAGACAAGAATAGGCCAAGCAGATGAAAATCATTATGGATACAGAATACATGAATAATACAACCAATAACCTTAACCTAGTGGACACTGTAAGACAACGGACTCAGAGAATCACATTCCATTGAAGACCACATGGAACATTTACTAAAACTGACCACAATATAAGCCAGTAAGTCACAACACATTGTTAAGAATCAGTACTGACCTACAGCCAATATCATACTCAATGGGAAAAAACTAAAAGCTTTTCCACTAAGATCAGGAACAAGACAAGGTTGTCCACTTTCACCACTTCTATTCAATATAGTATTGGAAGTTTTAGCCACAGCGATCAGGCAAGAAAAGGAAATAAAAGGCATCCAAATAGGAAAGGAGGAAGCAAAACTTTCACTGTTTGCAGATGACATGATAGTGTACATGGAAAATCCTATAGACTCTACCCAAAAACTGCTCAAACTAATTAATGAGTTTGGCAAAACAGCTGGTTACAAAGTCAATATCCAGAAATCAAAGTCATTTTTGTATACCAACAGTGAATCAGCAGAAGCAGAAATAAAGAGAAAAATCCCATTTGATATAGCAAAAAGAAAAATAAAATATCTGGGAATAAACCTAACTAAGGAGGTAAAAAACCTGTATGCAGAAAACTACACAGCCCTGAAGAACGAAATCAAGGAAGACACAAACAAATGGAAACATATACCGTGTTCATGGATTGGAAGAATTAACATCATCAAAATGTCCATACTACCCAAAGCAATATACAGATTCAATGCAATACCTATTAAAGTACCAATGGCATATTTCACAGACATAGAACAAACACTTCGAAAATTTATATGGAACCATAAACGAGCTCGAATAGCAGCTGCTCTTTTGAGAAAGAAGAACAAAGTAGGGGGGATCACAATACCTGATATCAAACTGTATTACAAGGCCACCGTAATCAAAACAGCCTGGTACTGGCATAAAAACAGGCACATAGACCAATGGAACAGAACAGAGAGCCCAGAAATCAACCCAACTCTCTACAGTCAATTAATATTCGACAAAGGGGGGCAGTAACATAAAATGGAGTAAAGATAGCCTCTTCAACAAATGGTGTTGGGAGAACTGGACAGCTACATGCAAAAAAATGAAACTTGAGCACAGACTTACACCATACACCAAAATAAATTCAAGGTGGATAAAAGACTTAAATGTAAGTCATAACACCATTAAAGTCCTAGAGGAGAACATTGGCAAGAAAATCTCAGATATTTCACGCAGCAACTTCTTTACTGATATGTCCCCTAGAGTAAGGAATGTAAAGGAAAGAATAAACAAATGGGATCTCATCAAAATAAAAAGCTTCTGCATGGCTAAAGAAAACAGTATTAAATTAGCAAGACAACCAACTGTATGGGAAAACATATTTGCCAATGATACCTCAGACAAAGGTTTAATCTCTAAAATATACAAAGAACTTACACGACTCCACTCTAAGAAGACACCCAACCCAATTAGAAAATGGGAAAAGGACTTGAACAAACACTTCTCCAAGGAGGACATACAGAACATTCAGAGACACATGAAGAGATGCTCAATATCATTAGCTATCAGAGAGATGCAAATTAAAACCACAATGAGATACCACTTTACACCAGTCAGGATGGCTATCATAAACAAAGCAACAAACAAATGTTGGAGGGGTTGTGGGGAAAAGGGGTCCTTAGTTCACTGTTGGTGGGAGTGCAGACTGGTACAACCATTATGGAAAACAGTATGGAATTTTCTCAGAAAAATAAAAAATCGACCTGCCTTTTGACCCAGCAATTCCACTGCTGGGATTATATCCTAAGAATCCTAAAACATCAATATCAAAGAACCTATGCACCACAATGTTCATAGCAGCACAATTTACAATAGCCAAGAGTTGGAAGCAACCTAGGTGCCCATCAGTAAATGAATGGATCCAAAAATTGTGGTACATATACACAATGGAATTCTATGCTGCAGAGAGAAAGAAGGAGCTACTACCATTTGCAACAACATGGATGGAACTGGAAAGCATTATGCTGAGTGAAATAGGCCAGGTGCTGAAAGACAAATACCATATGATCTCACCTTTAACAGGAAGCTAAACAACAAAACAAACAAGCAAGCAGAAAAAAAAAAAACAAAAACAAAAAACAAAGACACTTAAATAGAGAACAAGGGGATAGTGACCAGAGGGGAGAAGGAAGGGAAGTTAAGGGGAAAAAGGGGGAGGGATTTGGAGGAACAAATAGGAAGGACACAGGGACGAGAACTAAGGGGGGGTGGAAATGGGAGGGAGGTGGGGAGCAAGGGTGGGGGAAGCTGGGATGGGAAAAATAGACAAAAAACTGTACTTGAAAAATACCTAAATAAAATTTTAAAAAGAAAAAAAAAAGAATCAGTACCATGCAGAACACATTCTTTGATAATAATCAAGAACTCACCACAAAACTTTTGTAGTATTTGGAGACTAGAAGCAAGCAGATAGCAAACTACATGTTTTATTACAGGACATAGCTGTAAGAACATTATCTGCTGCATTCAGGTTGTTGGGAATTTAGGGAGCTCAGTAAATAGTAGTTCCCTTCCCAGTTGAATTGGCAATTATCTGAGAAACTACATAAGGAGTCAGACAGACGAACTCTAAATAATCACTTTAAGGAAAAGGATTTTTGAGAACATAACTTAGGTACATATAAAAGGGCTTGCTTATTTGCTCCTCTGGATTTTACATCCTACCTAAAACTGCAGGCCACACCCCCAGAGACAGAGCCCACCCCTCCAAGCTTCCTGGATAAACCAGCAGGCCTGCTCCCTGCAGGCAGGCAGAGCCCAAAGACAGGCCAGAGGCACAGGCTGGTGTGCACAGTTGCTGCTCCCAAACTCACAACTCAAGCAAGTTCCTCCTGCCACAGGGAGGGAAAAGCTAGTGGGTCCAAGAGATGAAAAGAGCCTGATTCCACACACCCCTCCAAACGGAAACGAAATGACTAAGGGGCTCTCCTAACACTAACTAAGGAGGGGAATCTGCAATCTTGGTGCAGACTGAGTAGGGCCACAAGGAGGACACGATTTACTCAGCGACATCACCTCCTTCCTGGCGCTGAGCCGTGATGTTGCGTTCACACTGCACTTTGGCTCTCAGCACGAGGACGATCTGCTCCTCCATGGTCACGGTGCCGTCGGAATCCAGCTGCAGAAATGAGCAGAATACGAACCGTGAAAAACACTCTCACAACAGTTTTTAAAGCAATGATATACGCTTGAGTGGTTTTCCCTTCTGATATAATTGAAAATCAAAGTTTTGATATCAAGCTATCTGAAATAGTCCTTTATTTGAATCAAAATTCAAAATCCATCAATGTATAAGATGTTAGGATAATCTTACTTTCACCTAATTTGCCTAAATAAAAAATTTTCCCATACTAGAAAATTTTAATATTATTAAGTAATTACATTAGATATAATATAATTAGAAAAATAATAAACCAATTGGAAATTTTCTACAATGTTATGGAGACCTGATGTTTTATTCATTCTCTTGCAATATGTTGGTTATAGCACACAGAAAGAATGGACGAGAAGGCTAAATTTAGCTCTACTGAAGAATGACTGTGAAACCTTGGGCAAGTCACTCGGCCTCTTTAGGTTCATCATAGACCTAAACACGCACTTGACCCAGGAATCGGAGAAGTTAAAGGAGGACCCAGAGAAGGGAGAGCCATTGCAGGTCTGCCTACAGCCCCTCTCTAATGAGATGACCCCACAGATAAGGAATACCCTTCGTGATACAAAAGTGCCAGCCTTGACCTCCTGGTGTAAAACAACGAAACAGTTGCTGCTTCATCTCTGGCCTCCAACGCTCATGAACAATTGCCTCTTGCGGCTCACCCTAATGAGAAACATGAAGGGAAAACAATCCTGGGGGTAGTATAGTCTAACACAGCCAAATTTACACATTACAAAGCCACCAAAATCCACCTCTGCCAACCTGGCACCATACAGATCTCTTCAAACCACTTAGTTTCCAAAACATTTGATAACAAAGTCATGCTTCTATCCAACATGATGCAATTTATTTTGTGCCAAAAGTGATTCCAAAGGAACAGAACTTTAAGACAGGAAAAATCTGTATTTGTCACCGATGGTAGTGTAGCAAATTAACCCAAAACTCTGTCTTAAAACAGCAAACATTAATTGTCTCACAGCTTGGAGAAGCTTAGCTGGGTGGTTCTGGCTCAGAGTCTCTTCTTAGGAGATTGCAGTCAACACTTTAGCCATAGCTATTGTCACCTGAAGACTTGCCTGGGACTAGAGGACCCAGTTCCACAATGGCCCCCTCACATGGTTATTGGCGGAGGGACTCAGTTCCTCACCACATGGTTCTCTCTGTCTGGGTGCTCGAGCGTCCTCACAGCATGTCAACTGTGGACATTCCTACACAGAGAGTGACTCCAGAAAGCGAGCAAGGAAACGACAAGCCCTTTATGACCTAGTCTCAGATGTCACGCGTGATCAGTCCCCTCATAGTCTATTTGTTAAAAGAGAGTCACCAACCTTCACCAAGGAAAGAGAAGTCAATCTCCACCTTTAAAGGGAAGTATCAAAAACCTTATAAATATATTTTGAAACAACCACAATTTTCTGCACATGATCATCTATTTTCTAGAAAAAGGATGCTGAGTGCTCTGTGTTCTGTAGGTTCATAACGGTACCAGGGCCCAGAGCATTGCAGGTCTATTTTCATTTAGAGACTTAGAGATTCCTACATCCAACCAGATGACAAAAACTATCAGTTTATCTAAGTGACAAACTCCCTATAATCCTTTGTCAATCCAAAATCTTTCATTTCAGCTGCAAATACACTTATTCTCAAGAACCATTATTTAAGGAAAGTGGAATATAAGCCTTTTTATATATATTTAATATTATATTTATAATAAGACATTGTGGACTGAACCAAGAAATTTAAAGATATTTATATCACTAGACATAAAAAAGAACAATTACAGATTATTAATCATCGATACAATAATTATAAATGACACAAAATGGTAGACCGACAGGTTCAACTGAAATGAAGTTTACAAAAAAACTATCTGTCATAAGAACTAGTTTTAGTAACAAAAAATGTGTTATTCCTGAAAATTATGAGTTATTACTTTCTAATACTGATATATTTATAATATAAAGAGTAGCTCAATAAATAATCAGGTATATAGTTTTGGAGATTGCTAGATAATATCCATAGCTCAATGCCCGCATAAACTTTAATAATTTTTTTCATAAAAAAAAGAGAATAATCAAAAACTAATTTGGGGAGTATGCTGGCTTACACAACAGGATTTACAGCCACATCTAAGGCTAACACAATGCAGACTCTGAGTTATAAGCAGCCACACAAAAAGCAACCCATAAAATCTCACATATCACAAAGGGAGAATAAAATAAAAACACATGAGTCATCTGAGTAGGCCTGGAAGGAAAATTGACTTCTTCCCCATTCATCCTCCAGAAAGTCAGGAAATATTCAAGCTGTTTCTTTTTTTTTCCAGCTCAATAGTTAATTCTTTGATTTAAATCCTAGAAAATACTGGGCAAGCTATGACCAAATTTCAGAACTATAAATTTGATTCAGAAAAGTTTGACTTCAATATCAAACACAAATATTTAAAATCACTCCTTGTACCATTTTTACTTGAACAAATACATTGTTGTGTTCTTTTGTATATCTGTGGCCCTTTTGCTGTGATAATCCTTTCAGAAACTAGGCATTTTGTAAACCAAAGCTTCTAAACATATTTTATTCTAAAAAATGTAGCCAGTTTAATCCAGGAGCAAATTTGATTAAGATGTACTTACTCTTGATCTGTTAAATTGATCTTTAGTCATTTCAAGTGAGAGTAAGAAAATGCTTATTACATTTTTTATATTGCTTTTTTCCCCTCCTTTGTTACAGATACAAGCATTCTTCACTGTAGACACTAGTTCATTTAAAACAGAAGAGCACTTTTCATACCTAATATATACCTCAAAGTTTCATAGCCAATGTCTACTTTGGTGTTTCATATTCTATTTTATTCCCAAAGCAATAATTGCATCCAAAACAAAAGTGTACTTTTAGGAAAAATAGATGTTAGTCATTTTTCATGGGCAAGTGATCATTTACAATACGAAATAAAGTGTTGAGTTTCAATTTGTCACATAACTTGATTGCTTAAAAAAGTTCTAATTTGACTATGTGTATTTTATTGAAAGGATCTACTGTCGTCATTAAAGACACTAATTGTTAATGTCAGAGTATGAATCCTCATAAGTACAACATTCACATTTATTCCATTTTAAAGTCAACATGAATTTATAAATTAGATGCATTTTAAAAGAAGCATTCTAGAATGTCTACTTCTGGTGTGATGGAGTAAACATATTTCCTCTATTCCTCCCAGTAATTACAACTAAAAACTCTGGACATTCTCTATAAAATGAACATTAGATGATTCTGAAAAGTGGAAAGCAGAAAGCAGACCAGGTAGGGACCTCAGATCCTGAAGATAATACAAGAGGAAATTCTCTGAGTTTTCTTTTGGTCTCATATATTCCTAGCTTGGATTAGAAACTGGCAACTCTAAAACACCAATGGGCACTTACCAAAATAAAGTCTCAAAAAAAAAAAAACAAAAACAGCACCCCTGTTCTCTATGGCAAAGAAAGCAAAGAGGCAGTCTGACAAGGCAGATAACTTTTAGACAATAATAACTCAGCCCAAAAAACAGAAAAAAACACAGTCCAACCACCATCCACATCAGCAAAGTCCAAGTGCAAGGAGGTTTAAGGAGGTGCCATAAGAAGGTGCCCCTGCACCCTCACCAGAGTAGTTTCAGAGCAAAGTAAAGAGCCAGGACTCCACCCACACGGGTCTGTAACAAGGCCACTGACTGTCCTCCCACCCCAGGTGCCAGAGGGGACCCTGTGGGGAGCCTGGACTTCCACCCCAGCCTGGCAGTAACAAGTGTCCCTCCATCTCCCCGCTGGGGCGGTGTCAGAGAAGACCTAGTGAGAGTCAGTCTAGCAGCCCCAAGTCCACCCCACTGCAGTGCGGTGGGAATACGTGAGAGCAGAACTCACGCCGTCAGTCCTCGGCGACAAGGAGTTCCTCACCTTGGCTGTCAACAGCAGCTGGCTGGGGCACCTAGACTTCGACCTCCCCTGAGAAGTGACAAAGTAAAAATTTTTGGCACATGGATGTGAATCCACAGGTAAAGCTGACTTCAGGAGCATGAGAGAATGTAAAATTTATGAGAGCAAGGATTTAGGAGGTTGCATTTTTTTCAGTGTGTCCTTACTCTACCAATTACTAGTGTTTGCCACACAGTTGGTGAGGAACAGAATGGATGTTGGAGAGGCGTAAAAATGCTCAACCTTCTTCATAAGGAGGTTGTGAGGTCTAAAGAAAATAATGCACACAAAGTGCCTAATTAGGGGCCTTGATAGAGTGAACACTGCACAAGCACTAACTATTACCACTGCTATTATCACCGAGTCTATACTTCTACCACTTTCTAAATATACAACATTTGATCAAAATAAATTACTGAAGCAAAAAAAGAATGCTGAACATGAGAAACCTTGGGCAGAGATCGGGGAGGCCTTTCCTGTCCCCACCTGAGGATCTACCATCGACACCTACACAGACGGAAGCAAGAGGCAGATTGGATGCATTAGAAAGAAGGAAAATGAATAGATACTGCAGGGAGGAGATGAGAGTCAAGAACAGAGGCAAGGAACACATCTCTGCTTACAGGCAACCTGCCCCCTCCATAGCGAAAGCCTCTTGGAAGACGGAGCCTGCACAATGAACACAATACTTAGCAGTCCAGTGTAATTTTACTACACTGAAAATGAAGATGCCTTGGAAAGAAGAATTTTAATTGAAGGATATATCCTCATTTTCACAGAATGACGACTTCTACTCATACTACAGTGTTTGTGCTGGTTCAGCAGCAAGGACTGCTGTGCGTATTTATTCTACAAGTATTCATTGAGGCCACCCATGGGGAAGACACCGTCTACAGGCACCGTGCATCCAGCCCTGGGGGAGGACGGTATGGCTCTCAGGCACTTAGTACATGCTCACCATGAGTGGTACAAAAACCACAATGGGCTCAGTAACAAAATGCAGTTACTAACATGTTA